TATGTATGTATGTATGTATGTATGTATGTATGTATGTATGTATGTATGTATGTATGTATGTATGTATGTATGGATGTATGGATGTATGTATGTATGTATGTATGTATGTATGTATGGATGTATGGATGTATGGATGGATGGATGGATGGATGGATGGATGGATGGATGGATTGATTGATTGATGGATGCGTACAAATTGAGAATAAGTGAAAATAAAATAGTATTTAAAAAAAATGGTGACAAAAACAGTTTGTAAGGTAATGTAGAAAACTAAAAACAAGAACGTGTCTGCATTGGTTTTTTTTCCCAGGAACTTAGCAGATGTTTGATCCATCATCTTTACCCGCTTCTTCCGTTTTGCATCATGGGGGTCACTGGTGTCCATATAAAATAAGATGGAACTTTATTGATCCCGCAGGAAATTGTTCCATCACTGTGCGAGAGGTGTGGAACACCCAGGTCTCCAGTTCATCACAAGGACACACAGAGACAAACGAGGCAAACAACCAGTCACTCTCTCACCTAGGGACAATTTAGAGTATGCTATATAAATGACTGAATGAAAGTGAATTTATTAATTAATTAGACTATTGCAATGGTTTGTTATCTGGGTGTCCAAATACTTCTTTAAAAAGTCTTCAGTTAATGCAAACTGCTGCTGCCAGTCTTAACGTAGGAAAGATCATCTCTCCAGTTTGAGCTTCTCTCCATTGGCTCCCTGTCAAATACACAATTGAATTCAAAATCTTACTTCTAACCTATAAAGCCCTCAACAACTTAGCTCCATCTTATATTACAGGTTTTATTGTTCCACATTTTCCTAGCAGAGCACTTCGCTCTTAGACTGCAGGTTTACTCGTGGTCCCTAGAGTTTCCAAAAGCAGAATGGGATAAAAGATCTTTCAGTTATCGGGCTCCTCTCTCGTGGAACCAACGTCCAGTTTCTGTCCATGAGGCTGACACATTGTCCAGTTTTAAGACTGGGGTTATATAAATAGGATTGACTTGTCATGCTGCCTTAAGCTTAGACTACTGGAGGACAAACTGACCTCAATTCCTAAAATTATTTGCTAAAATTGAATAGTTTTCATTTGATACTATTTCTATCTTAACATGTGCTTCTCGACCTGCCATTGTGTATCTGTTCCTACCAAACCCAGCCGGTCGAAGCAGATGGAGCTCGTCCTGAGCCTGGTTCTGCTAAAGGTTTCTTCCTCACGATCGAGTTTTTCCTTTCCACTGTCGCCTTCATGCTCGCTCAAGATGAGAGTTCAGCGATGGAGTTAAACTCAAAGCTGCTCCTCAGATAAATGTTAAATTATTATTTTTATATTTGGATGTTTCTGTTCAGTGCCCTGAGACGACTTCTGTTGTGACTTGGCGCTATATAAATAAACTGAACTGAATTATCAATCAACCTTTATTTATACAGGTAAATCCCATTGAGCCTCGAGGACTCATTTACAAGAGAGACCTGATTTCAACAAAGAAAGATGACAACAATGGACAACAGCAACAACAATAAGCAGTTATAAAAACTCATACTACAGTTTTGTTCTTTTTTTTTTTTTAACAAATAGGATGGCTAAAAGGAAAAAGGTAACAAAACCAAAAAAACAGCTAGATTCCAAGACAAATGTATAAAACTAAAAACAGGAACATGTCAGCATTGGACCCTGCCAGGAGTCCAACAGATTCTTAAAGCCACTTAGAGAGGTCAAGTAATTTGAGTTATTGGCCAAAACAATATCCATGTTAACAGAAGCTGCTGTATTGTTGTTTATTTAGTTATAACCTTTAAGTTTATCATCACAAAACAAACATATCTTCAAGAAATCTCCCTATAGATGGAAATAGACGTACGCTGTAATTTAGCACTGGAGAATCTGAGCTTTTACGCTGAAATTCCCGAGCCGGAAGCAGTAGTGGCTAGCTCCAGCTAGCTTAACTGTTGACTGGACACAAAAAACTGCGAAATCAAGGAGAAGGGCAGCGCCCAGAATAACAGTAAACCTCAGCAAACCCCGCAGCATCCCGTGGGGAATGGGACCCCGGGTGTACCCTCCGGGTCGTCGGACGCTGGAACAAAGGTAGGGGGCTCCTTTTTTAATCCCCAAGGTCACAACAAGAACCCTGACAGTTTTTCCTCTACATGGACATGAGTCCGTCGGGCGTGAAGTTGCTTGATGTTGTCCAGATAAAATAAAAAAAACCGTCAAGAAGCAGGTTCTGGTGGACGGGGTCCTCGTCTTGTTTTGCTGGTTCTGGTTCTGAGGCTGTTGCTTTATAAGAAACCATCCATTGAGGACCTTGGAGGACGGGAGGGGACTTTTCGTGGCCTGTGATGAGCTCCGGGCTGCTCGGGCTGGGATAAGAACGGAACACAAAGTCTGGCACCGATCGAGGCGTCTCACAAGTTTAGGAGGTTTGAGCTCCATCCTTCTCTGTGAAAATCACTGCGGGGATGTGTGAGCCTGTTTATCCGCCTCAGTGGCCTGCTGCCGCCCCGTGCAGCTAATCCAGTAATCTGGAATAGAGAGGTGGCTGCATTTTATTGTAACACCACTTCCTCCTCCTCCTCTTCCTCTTTCAGCAGTATGGATGAGCACAGTGGTTGAAAGTGTGGGCACATCTACACGTCTGCTACACAAAACCAGCCCTAAATAATCTCTGAGACTGTATGAACCCCAGTAAAGGTTGCCCTGACTCGTATCAAGTGCAGCAGATTGAATTTACTCCACTGGTTTTTAGATGCCAGGGATGCAACGTTGAACTGCGGGTCCACGCTCAACGTAAACAAAGCACCCGGCTGAATCCTGTGAACACCAAACGGAAGCTCGAGTCACAGGACCGACCTAAATTAGGTGGATTACCATGAAGCTTTGGTTATTGAGTGTTTCAGCTGTTTAATGTTGGAAGTCAGTCCAATTCAAGATGGCCACCACAGCCATCTGATCATAGAAAGTATAAAAATAACTATAATTCTATACAGTTATATATATTTACACCTCTAGATGCAGGAAGAGGGCCACCCGCATCGTGAAGGACCCCACTCACCCAGCACACACTTTTTGCCCCGCTCCCCTCAGGAAGGAGGTTGAGGAGCATTAAGTGTAGAACCACTAGACTGAGGAACAGCTTCTACCCTGAGGCTGTTAGACTCATGAATCTCTAACAGAATAATCAGTGTGAAACATCACATCATGTTGCTGCTGATCTGTTCCATGTTGCTGCTGATCTGTTCCATGTTGCTGTGCTCTTCTGCTCACACAGACTCATGTTCGTGCTGCTGTTCGGCGCATTCTTTTCATGCTATTAATTCTCAGTGTGTATTTAGTTTGTTCTTCTTAGTTCATATCTTATTACTGTTTTTCTTTTACATTTTATTGTTGGATGTAACTGGGACCCTGCGTACATAATTTCATTCCACCACATGGTGCGAACGATAATTTTACGGGTCTCTCTTGTAAATGAGTCCTGGAGGCTCAACGAGATTAACCTGTTTAAATAAAGGTTGAATGAATTCTGTCCGTTTTGCAGACGTTGAGCTAAAATGTGGCACTCGTGCGTCATCGTATGAAGTTGCAGCTCGTGTTATTTTCGAGGTTTGACCAAAATGGCTCCTTCATTTCTCAACGTAACACGATCTTGGTCTAAAACGCTGAAAGAGGACGACGATACAAATTCCTTCAAGGCCTTGGAATTAAAATGTGTAATTTCCGGTAACATCATTTGATGAATCATTGGAGAAAAAAAAAAAGATCTTTGTTTGCCTGGACATGATTACGTGATGCGTGCATTTAGAGAGAGCATTAAACTGGTATTTGTGTGTGTTTTTTAACAAACCAGTCTTGTGAGGTGTTTGCGAACAGTGTCCTCTTTGTTCACGCTGCTCGGAGGAGAGGATTAATCCGGCTAATGACCTCTAAAGTAAGGAACGGGATAAAAGCACATCTAACAGAGAGGAAGCTGTTCCTCATAATTATCAGTGTGAGCGTGATCTGCTGAGGAAATGTGTGGCTCTTAAGTGTGGAGAGATGTGGGCCTCTCTTCTTCTTCTTCTTGTGTGCTTATGCAACGTTCATGGCAGGGCTCGTGCTCTGTATCTGACAGAAGGTGGTCCTCGGGGGGGGGGGCTGTTTTTATTTGCGAACGCCCCGACTTCACCTTCTCTTAGCTCCTAATCCTCTCCGAGCACAGCTGAGATGATGGACGTCCTCGCTGCGTGGGCAGGAGACCATAGAAGAGCAGCAGATCCATCTCATCTCTCACACACAGCTGTGATCGTGTGTAATCTGTGATTTCCTTCTCAGCAGCTCCCACAGGTGGAGCACCTCTCTCCGGCTGCTGTAACACGACACGTTTCTCAACGATGCAGAGCAGATGTCGGAGCTGCTCCGTCCCGTCCGGCCTCCTGCTTCACAGATTTAGTTTGGTTTAAGTCCGTAATCTCTGTTGTGAGTGGATTATTAGCTCAGGCACGACCCTCTTTTGTTGTACTTCCCCCCCCCCAAACCTCTGCATCTCTCAGATCTGACTGTTTCTGAAGGTTTTCCAGCCTCTCGCTCTGCAGAGGGACGGCATTATATTCTTGGGCCAAACTTCAGTGCAGCATTTCCTGTTGTAGAGCCGGCCATGAGACTTCCTGTCCTCTGCTGCTGGATGTGGAGGTGCAGGAGGGGGGTGGAGAGCCGGGGAAGGAAGAGGAAAGAGAAGCATAAGCAGACTTTACTCCCTGCTGCTGTCAGCGGTGGCCACTGTGGCTACAAGTTGCTTGTTGTCAGACTTTTATCAAAGCGGACCGATGAAGTGAAAGAATGGTTCGCATCCCCTTTGTTCATCTCCGCTGATCGTCAGAGTAGAGCGGTGTAAGGAGCAGAGGAAGGTTTTAATGTCTGATGTTTGTTTTTTGTGCCTATTACAGGTCATGTCCTTCAGTTTGTTAAAGCCGCCGTGCTTCACACAGCTCTCCAAGCATGCAGTGACCGTCTCGCCCCACTCGGCAGGTACGAAGCTTTTTGTCTTTCTGCGTCCTGTCCGCTCGTCTCGGCTCCTTGATGACGATAGGAGATAAATCTCTCCTTGTCCCGTCCTTTTCCTCTCCTAGCTCTGTTCGATCCAAAAGAAACGTGCCTCGTCAGGAAGCAGGATGTTCACGGGCTCCACCAAGCTGCCACCCGCTAAAACCCCGCAGCCGGAGCGGCTGGATGAAGTTTACGCTGCCTTACGCCGAGGCTTACAGTTAGTGAACGCATCTTCAGCATCGGCTTCATCGCTTGCAGCGGGATGGCTGCCGGGTGAAATGTCCCTGAGCACACGGAGATAACGGTGATGTGTTTGTGTCGCCAGGTCGTACCTGCAGGTCCACCAGCTGGAGCTGGACAGTCTGGGTCAGCAGATCCGAGAAAACAAGAAAAACAGTCGACTGGTGAGAGCTCCTATTTGTCAAGCAGTCCGGAGGGAGTGAGCGTACTCTTCTGTGATACTGAGGGTTTTATTTTATTTATTTTTCAGGGCTCTTTGTATGAATTGGATAAGGTGAGTTTTTACCTTTTCCGGGTTTTTTAAATGAAAATCCTGTCGGGTTTTTTTTTTTTTTTTTTTTTTTGGTTAAAGCTAGAACTGACAAAATGTAAACAACTGTTTATTTGTTTGGATCCTCATTAGGGGTGCACCGATAAATCGGCCCAGATTTCCTTAATTTTTGGGAGATCGGCCGATACTTGCACGAGAAATCGATTTTACCGATTTTTTTTTGTTGTTTTTGTAGTTTTAACAAGAATCGTCTTAACTTCATTTATATTTCAGAGCACTACCTCATGACCAGTTAAAACAAGTTTGTGTTGTTTCTAGGATTTTGTTCAAGGGTTTGTTTTTCAATAAAATAATATTGGATAATTGAAGGTGCATTGTGACCTAATAACTCCTGACAGTGTCGCCTATAAAGCAAAATCAGAATTGGCAGGTCAGACTTTTTACAGATCTGTGATCGGCCATTAAACTGCAACTGGTGCGCCCCTAATCCCCATTATCCATTACCATAACGATGGCTACTCTTCCTGGGGTCCGCTGCGAGGATGATTTCCCTCCATGAGTTTGAATATAATCTGTTTTTTTATTGCAGCAAGTGAAGGCTATAGAGAGGTTTATGCGCCGTTTGGAATTTCACCTCAGCAAGGTGTGTTTATTCATGACTAAACTTATAATTAAAGAATAGACTTGTGTCATCTGTGCCAATATAGAATTAACAGATTCACTGAAAACTGTATTTTGTTCTCACTTCTGTGGACAACGTGAGCGTCGTCGGGCTCATTGTTTGGCTTTAGTGGCTCTAATTGTCTCGCTTTGAATAAATGATTTTCATCAGCAGCTTTAAAAAGCGTTTTGTTCTACGTGCAAGAATGAGAACATCTGGTGAAAACTGATCCGGATCTGCTCAGCGCTTTGCTATCCACTGCTAAATAATATACACATGCTACTTTATGTAATTACAAACACCTGACCTGTTGTTAAGCACAGCATAGAGAAGTTACGACGGTGTCTTTTTGTTGAAACCTCTGTGGTGTTTCCAGGTTGAAGAACTCTACGATGCTTACTGTATACAGCGGCGTCTGCGTGACGGAGCGAGTAAGATGGTGGCAGCGTTTAACTCCGCCACCGGCAGCAGGGAGGCCCGGGAGAGTCTGAGCGAAGCCAACAAGGGTTACAGGGAATACACCGAGGCAAGTGACTGGTCCCAGGACTGCATGCCAGCTGAAACTGAGTCTGGTTGCAGTTTGTCTACAAACATTTTTATTCCAAACTCTGAAAGGACAATTTCCAGTTTGACCTTTAATTAACATCTAACACAGACTTTCCTTTTTTTTTTTAAACAAATATTATTTGAACATTGGTGAGATTTGTTATCACACAGTTTTGTGAAAGTGTGTGCTGTCATCTGGTGCACTTGATGCGGTGGAGTTAGAGAGTTAGGGCAGCCAGCTTGGGGCCCGAAAGTCCCAGGTTCGATCCCGAGCCGTTCCCACATGTCGTGGTGTCTCTGAGCAAGACACCCAGTCCCTAATTCTGCTCCGCCTGGGTGTATCTCAGGTGCGATGGTTGCATTCGGGCCCAAAAAATCCGGCCCCAGCCCATAGCCATCATTTGCAAACCGCACCCAACCCTATGAATTAACATTAATTGCAGGTCCGACCCCCCCCCCCTCGACATTTTTAATTAAGTTTTGATTGCTTATTTAGTTAACGGTCGGCGGACATGCACGGCTGAATAAAGGGGGGCAGAAGATCAGAGCTGAGGGGGTGTTTCTCCTTCAATGACCGTCAAAGAGCATTAAACCTCTGCTGCATTCTGCATTATTCAAACATGGACCGTGCTCTGACATGTCTGCTTTGGGATCTTACCTGTTTGGGTCATCGGCCGCGCGCGTCCGCTGAGTGCAACGGCTGAACGTCCGTTTGGGCGATGGATCGCTTCCTGGCAGTACCGGTAGTCCCATCTGAAGCTTAACTGAACTTTATTTGACCTCTTTCAAGGCCGGTCAGCTCGCGGTAAAATGATTGATGTATGGCAAGCCATGTTGCCATATAATTGGATTGTCAGCTGCACGCATCCGCTGACGCAATCAAAACCCCGACAGCGACCCGGCCTGCCCATTCGGGCCGGGCCGAGCTTCGGGCCCGGGTTAGAAATAACAGCTCTAGGTTAAATGCAGAGAACTAATTTTGCCAATGTATGGGAACATACAATGATGACACCACAAAACACTTATTATTATTTAAAGCTTTAAGTTGTATAAAAAGAAAAAACATAAAGGAGTTTTAATTTAGCTTTTAAACAGACATAGTGTACTTTTTGTATAAATCTTTGTCCTATAAAGTATTAGTAGTAGTAGTAGGACTTCCAGTGACCAAGAGGGAAAACTTTGTATTTTGGAAATTACTGTAAATGTTTTCTTATAAATGCACAGTGACATATTCAATTCATCCTGATTTAAAAAAAAAAAAAAGCATTTTGTGTGCTTGTTATTATAGTTTTTGTAAAGAAATCTGAACTGGCTGTTCAAAGTTTTATAAAAACTGGAATTGGGCTAAAAATCTACAGTTGGTATATCTCCACTCGAGACATAATCTGTAAATAAAAGCAGCTCGTTTTCCAGAATAATTCAGCAGATGTTCAGCATGGTTGGAGCCACCTGTAAAAGGATGATTTTGTTGAAGTGTCAGTGAGATGAACGCGTTCGAACCCGGTCCTCTTTGTTTCTGCAGCACATGTGCTCTCTGGAGAGCGAGCTGGAAAGCCAGATGGGAGAGTTTCATGTCAAGATGAAGGGTGAATCACTCTCCGCTCTAACTTCCTATTTGCTCTTTTTATAGACCACTTCTCATTTCTTTTTATTTTATTTTTTTATGTTTTAGGCCTTGCTGGATTTGCACGACTGTGCGCTGGTGATCAGTACGAGGTAGGACGCACACCAAACACCCCTCCTCACCCTCTAGTTTTCTTTCAGCCGCTTTATCTCGGACTGTTTTTGGCCGACGTTAGGTCCTCATGCGTTACGGGCGTCAGCGCTGGAGGCTACGAGGCCGCGTGGAAGTCAGCAACAAGCAGATGTGGGACGGCGAGGAGTTTACTTTCCTGCCTTTAGTCACAGAACTTTTGTCAATCAAGGTACGAAACGTTACTTTTTTACATCAAATAAAATCTGGTAATTTTTGGAAACTAAAGTTGTGGAATAAATGCACTGTACATATTAAAGTTTGACCCATCATCATGTAAACACTGGTCTGGTTTTCATCAGGACTTAATAAGAGCAAACAGAAAGCAGTAACAGCACCTCCCGTTAAAAACACAGTAAAATATAATGGGTCAGTTAAAACTGATAATAATAATACAGTAACATCTACAATAATTAAATCAAGCTGTCAAAGTCTATTTGAATATAATTCAACTAGAGACAGGACTGTAACCGTGTCTAAGGTCTGAGCAGTTTTTTTAATGGGAAAATTAAATGTAGTTTTTTGTTTATTTGTAATTTTAAGGGAATTTGGCAGACTCAAGTTGCCTCTACTGAAATGCATTCTTGGATTTGGTTTAATAGTGACAGGACAATTCTAGGGTGGATAGATGGCGGTCCGTGTCATCTAGTGTGAAACAATTAAACAATGTTTAACAAGTAACAATGTCCAGTTTTAAGACTGGGCTTAAGTCTTTCCTTTTTGATACATCCTATAATTAGGGTTGGCTTGTGATGCTGCCTTAAGCTTTTTCATTCAACCTTTATTTAGACCGGTAAATCCCATTGAGCCTCGAGGACTCATTTACAAGAGAGACCTGATTTCATAAGAATGATGACAACAGCGACAACAATAAACGGTTATAAAAAGTCATACCAATGTTTTTTTTTTTACAAATAAGATGACAAAAAGAGTAACAAAACAGATTATAAGGCGAATGTAGAAAACTAAAAACATTAAGCTTAGACTACTAGAGGACAAATTGACCTCATTTTCTTAAATGATTTGCTAAAATTGAATTGTTTTCATTTGATTCTATTTCTATCTTAACCTCTCGACCTGCCATTGTGTATCTGTTCTTACCAAACCCAGCCGGTCGAAGCAGATGGAGCTTGTCCTGAGCCTGGTTCTGTTCCTCATGAGGGAGTTTTTCCTTTCCACTGTCGCCTTCATGCTTGCTCAAGATGAGAGTTCTGTGATGGAGTTAAACTCAAAGCAGTCTGCGCCTCAGATAAATGTCAAATTATTATTTTTAAATGTGAACGTTTCTGATGAGTTATTTTAAAAATGAATGTTTCCGTTCTGTGCCCTGAGACGACTTCTGTTGTGACTTGGCGCTTTATGAATAAACTGAATTGAATTAACGTTGAGTGTCGGGTGAGTAAGAAAGATCCGAAGACAATGAGGAGGTGGGAATTATAATAAAGCTGTGGAAAAATGAAATTCATTAAAATCACAGCTTCTATTCACCGAACTAAAATAAAGAAAACGAGACGGAACAGACCTCACTTACTGGAGCTGCGCTCAAGCTCCATTAGTCAGATACAGAATGGTAATTATGACCATTCAGGGCCAGTTTGGCTTTTTGTGAGCGTGGGCAGCCTTCTGCGTTTTGTGCTTCACAGCCAGAGTGACGTCCTGCAGCTTTAATGAACCTCGAAGGGATAAAAGTGACTCTGCCGTCCTGCTTCGCTTCTATTGAAGATCCTGATTTTAAGGCGGGTTACCATCAAGTGCTTCAAATGAGAAAACTGGTTTCATTGTGCTGCTGTCAGGAGGAGCAGCAGACTGTCCTCACCCTTCACTGCAGTGCAACGTCTGAGCTCGCAGTGCTTCACAGAGATGATCTGTATCTCAGGGGTTTGCTTGTTTTGGTCGTCAAGGTGACGGAGCTGAAGAGCCTGGCCAATCACGTGGTGGTGGGCAGCGTGTCCTGTGAAATGCTCGATCTGTTCTGCCCGCTCCCTCAGACGCTCGCCGTGGACATCAACGACCTGGGGACGGTGAAACTGAACCTGGAGGTCACCTGGAGGTCATACGCCTGCAGTACACGCACCTCTCTGATGTACAGCAACATGCGTATTAAAGAAGTCTCACTCTTCTGTTTTTTTTTCTGTTTCAGTCCGTTTGATAAGGACGACCAGGCGACATCCTGCAGTACAGTTTCCAAACGACTGCTGTCCAATCAGAGTCCTCCTGACACGCCGTCTATGCGAGAGCAGGTCTTCTATGTGAGTCCTGCAGACTTATTAATATTCAGTCACTTTGCTTGTAAATGATTTGCATACCGTGTCCAAACTCTGTAGTTGAACCTCATTTATACTCAACAGTTTATCTCACTGATTTCTGTCATCGCTGTCATTTCATTGGCTTGTTGTGTTTCAGCTGCTCCCCAGTTGTTTAGCATGTAGCTGTAGCTCTGACGTGTGCGAGGATGTTCGTAGAGGGTTGTGTGCACGTACGTGTGGTTGTGGGCTTCCCCGTGAGAGGAGGATGAATGGGAGCAGCAGAGATTTGTGTGGCGACAGCAGCATGCTGGAGCGCAGCTGTGGTCCTTGTAGATGTTTACTAGTGGTTGAGTAGAGCTCCAATATGTCCCTCCTCTCCCTCACCTTGGTGAAGAGCGTGCCTCGCTGCGGGCCCTGGCAGAGCCACTCCGTGGTGGAGGGTTTCCCCGGCGTCGCGGCGTCCTTACGTTGGGATCTCAGCCGTGCAACAGCACGGTTTATTTCATCACAGCCGGTGTGTTTAGTTTGTAGCCAAAAGAATAATCAATTAAAACAATCAAGACTTTGATTTGTCCATTAAACCTTTCGCTTTTTGAAACAAATCAGCAAAAATCTATTAATTTTATGAAAATTTGCAACAAAAAATAATTCCCCAAAGTTTGTTTTTTTGTGTTTTCTTTCTAAACCTCAACTCATTCCAGGTGTGACAGCGTTGAAATTAAAACGCTGAATACCCACAGATTAGTTCATTTAATTAGCAGCTATGCAGATTAAATCATAACCTGTTTGTCTTCTTCACACGTCTTCACTTGGCCTTTGTTTGAAACAAAGACCAACTTCTTATCGCACTTGTTCCACCAGGGTCAGTTTTTTTGTCTTCGGTACACAAGTCGTCCCTAAAAGTAAAGTTATCACAATTTTAAATTTAAATCAAGTGTTGCTTTAAAATGTAATCTGCCAACGTTAATCTAGCTGAAGTGTTAGCTTGTGTTATTTCACAGCTGCAGTGTAGGAAGTGTAAGAATCACGCAGAGGAGAAACGCTTGAACAGGTCCCTCATTATGAGATAGTTCTTTAAATACAACGTTTAAAACGTGCTGCGTGTTCAATTAACGTTCCTTGAAGGGAGGTCACTCGCCGTCTTTCACGACACACACATAAACTGAAATCGTCTTTTGATGAAAAATGTTGCTTATGGTACGTGTTGGTAATGACCCTCAGCTACTACCACACCAAGTTTGAGCTCTAAATCTGTAAAACCGACTGTTGTAGTCATTTTAAGGGTTGACTAAGGTCAGCCATCTTTATTTGGCTGAATATGATTGACTTATTGATGCACATCCAATGATAATTTGCTGAGTTTCATTAAAATCTCTTGTTTCATGAGATATTTTGCTAACACTATAGACCAGGGGTCTGCAACCTGCGGCTCAGTGGCCACATGTGGCTCCTTGGACCCACTGCAGCGGCTCTTTCAGGTTTTGACCAAAACTAAAATAAAACTGAATTTAATTAAATTATTACCAACAATGAAAATGGACAGTTTTAGCAGATTTCCTGTGGAAAGTACAAATACTCCAGCTTTTGTAAAACAAATGAACTACGTCATGCTAGTAGTTTGTTAGCTACTTTATTAAGTCAACTTCCAGTCTCACGGCGCGATCGTTCTCTCAAAACCACCAGAATGTTTTGGAATATCTTTGAGACGAGCCGCTGAGGAGGAATATGGTGAATAACTTTGATAACGCTAAGATTAAAACACAAAAAACAAAGTCAAAGTAAACAAAAGTATTTATTTTCCTTTAAAAATAAATACCAACACGCTGGCCTAATGTTATACAGTCTTTTAACGTTATGTTTTAAGTAGTATACTTAATTCTTCAACAATTAAGAGAACTCACATCGGCCTGCAGAGTTCAGCGTTTAAATTTTTATAAAATGGTTAAAGATTGTATATTTTTTCTTTCTTTGCGTGAATTTTGTCTTTTGTATTAAAATGTAAAAATATCAATAAATGTTAATAATAGTTAGACATTTTAAATTTTATAATATCACCCCCACTGGCTGGAAAAGCCGTCTCCAACAAACTTGTAGTGGCCCGTGGACCACCAGTTGACAGAACACAGTTGTAGCAGGTTGTGACTCCGGACGTTGTAATTAATTCATTTCAATTCAATTCAGTTTATTTATATAGCAACAAATCACAATTAGTAAGCAAAGTGGCAAACATGTCTCTTTTTAATCACAAAGGTTGCAGACCCCTGCTACAGCCAAACACATTAATATACAGTATGTTGGTTAATATATGTGTTAATGTAACATTTTAAAGTCTAAAAAATGTCTTAAATTCTGTTGGTCAGCCGACCATTGGCATCATGCGAATTAAAAAACAAGAATTTATACGTGAATTATGTTGAATATAATTTATCAGCAGGAGTGGAATCACAAAAATGACTCTTGAATCTAAAAATGATAAACATTGTTTACGTGAAGTTTTGAAACCTGCTAAAATGTTTTTTATCATCCTGCTGTTTGAGTCTGACCCAGCTGATGTGCAGTTTAGTTCTACATGAACCAGATCCGTTAAACTCCGTTCCACATCGTGTTATATTTCGTTTATCGTCTCAGTCTGTGCCCGCTCTTTCAAGATAACCTACATGTTGATGCGATGCCCTGCTGTTTGCTAACTGCGGCCATTTTCCACTCGGTCTGCAGTCCCTGCTGAAGCGTCAGGGGGAAATGGAGAACGGAACGGTTTGGTCCAACTCCTCTGAGTCATCGGACGACTCCTCCAGCCCGGCGCTGGCTCATCAGAGGCTGACGGCCTCCAACGCGCTGCAGACTGCTCCCACCACTCAGCTGTCGCTCGCACCGCACAAGTCCAGCGTGTCAACGCCGTCGCTCTCGTCCAACCAGGAGGAGGACGAGTCAGAAGGCGGAGATGTTTTCGCTCAGGCAGAAGCGGTGGCAAACGGCCATTTGCAGACCTCCTGCTCAGACTGTGCTGCGACTGACGGGACATCTGCTCAATCGGAGGACACCTCTGAAGCCTCCTGCCCTGACAGGACCTCTGGAGCTGCGGCGTTGTTGGTGGAGGACGGCGACGCGTCGGCTGCAGACGCACAAGACGAGCCGTGCGAAGAGTCGTCGGCAGACAATCAACAGGCCGAAGCAGAAGACGGCACAGCTGAAGGTGCAGACCAGGAGGAACCAAACAAACTGTATCAGTCTGTCCAGGAGCTAAAACAACCAGAGGCGGCGCCGACGGTGAGCTGAAACCACACCCAACACGTCCACGCGATGCTCCGTGCGTTAAACTTCCTGCTCGCTGTTCTCCTCAGGTTCCTTTTCCCACTTCAGCCAGTTTCAGTCAGGAAGTGGAGACGGCCCTCGAGAGTTTCGACTTCCTTAACAGCTCTGATCTCGATGAGGGCGACGAAGAGGAAGACGGACGACAGCAGGAGGACGAGGGAGAAAAAGAAGAGCGGGGTGGAACACTCCAAGATCAAAATGAAACTAAAGAGGAGGAGAAAATAGAAGAACCTAAGGTGGAGAACTTGTACTCTGAGGGGAGGTCAGTGTCAGAAAGTACTTCCTGTTCTGCATTTTTCTAATGGTTTTACATCGACTGCCAGACAATTAGCCTGAGTTAACCGTCAATCAAAATGTCTGATACCAGAATAAACACAAGTCAGTGAAGGTAAAAACAAAACCGCTTCAGTCACACACACCTGTTGCTGAAACACCTGGAATTTTCCTTCACCATCTGGTCTAAACTTTACTTTATTAAAAGTAATTCGTAGGAATGCCGAATCAGCTTTCCCCACTGTGTTCTTGTTTTTGACAACCACTGCGTCTGCATGCTTTGCGTCGTTTTAGCTATTCGTATATCAAAAAGCTCGTTTAGGAGATGGATGCTATGACTTTTTTTTGTCGTTTTAAAATTTTCATTACAAAACATTTCCTCCAAAATACATTAAGATCGTCACAGATCTCTTTGAAATCTTCAGCGTACTGCCTCTGTTTTAGCCTTTTAGTTTTACTGTTCTGCTACTTCTAGATTTTAGCTAACCTTCAATGCTTTTATCTAGCATTTTGATAATTTTAATGCCTTTTGTTACTTTAGCATTTAGCTACTTTTAAATTTTAGAAAGCCTTTTGCTACTTTTAGCTAGCCCATTGGTACGTCTAGCTTTTAGCTATCCTGTGACTGCTTTTAGCTAACCTTTTAATACTTTTATAAAACATTTTTTACTCTAGTATTTAGCTAACCTTTTAATACTTTTATAAAACATTTTTACTCTAGTATTTAGCTAACCTTTTACAAAGCCTTTTTTACTTCAGCGTTTAGGCGGCCTTTTGTAGCTTTTAGCCGGCCTTTGGCGGCTTTAAGCTAATCTTTTGAGTATCAACTAGCTTGTGGCCACTTTTAGCTAATGTGTAAAAATATTGTTACTTTAGCATTTAGCTACTCTTTTGCTGCTTTTAAATTTTAGAAAGCCTTTATGCTGCTTTTAGCTATCCCTTTGGTACATCTAGCTTTTAACTAGCCTGTGACTGCTTTTAGCTAACCTTTTAATAATTTTATAAAACATTTATTTACTCTAGCTTTTAGCTGGCCTTTGGCGGCTTTAAGCTAATCTTTCGAGTCTTGACTAGCTTGTGGCCACTTTTAGCTTATCTTTGAATACTTGTGTAAAAATATTGTTACTTTAGCATTTAGCTAACCTTTTGCTACTTTGATTTAAACAGTTGTTTTGCTACTTTTAGCTAGTTTTATTTAACTTTAGGTTTTAACTAGCGTTTTGCTGCTTTGAGGTTTTAGCTAGCCTCTTTGTACTTTTCACTTAGCCTTTGGCAGCTTTTAGCTAGTGTTTTGATATTTCATACAGGATTTTTTTTACTTTGGTAGTATTTGCGACTTTTAGCTAGTCTCGCTACCTTAGCTGTTAGCCATTTGCCAATTTAAGCTCCTTTTCTGGCTATTTCAGGTTTTAAATAGCCTTTTGCTAGCTAGCCTTTTGCTAATTTTAGTGTTTCGCTACCCCTTTAATACTTCAAGATAGCCTTTTGCTACTTTTTGCTAGCGTTAGGTTACTCTCAACTTTTAGCTAGTGCTCTGCTTCTGTTTTACCGCTGTAGTTTATCAACTTCGACAGAACGCTCTAGTCTCCATCTGGTTGTGTAACGAGTTGTTGCATCACCTGGGCGGACGTTCTCAGTAAGCACGACTTCCACATGTCGAGCTTCTGACCGACCCTGCTGCTCATAATTACATTCGACATTAAATCACATCAGCGTGGGCCGAGCAGTGATGAATCTGAAGGGCAGAGTTTTCAAAGATAAAGACTGAATTGTGGAGGAATCTGGCCAAATACAGACACTTGTTGAAAACTGAGGAACAAGATGAACTTTCCAACTGTCACGTCCTCACGTCAGTGTTTGTCTGTCAGCAGTGACGAAGAGGAGGCAGACGGTCTGCAGTTCCTTATGGAGGCTCCGGAAGGATTCAGGAACTCGGATGAAGATTGTTTCTCTGAATCACAGGTAAGAACGCTGCTGTTTCTGCCGTTTCGTCACTTTCTGTTAAAAACTTTGAGTTCAATCCGTTTTGTCTCTCAAAGGACTCGAGCGCCGACGATGAGCGGGATCTGGGTCCAGTGGAAATCCCAGAGGACGAAGATGAGCGAAGCGAGGAAAAAGGAGACGAACACGGTGAGACAAACGTGTTGGTGAACTGACGTATTGGCTGTTGGTCCGCCTGCGGGGGTACGAGGTTTGTTTTGACCCGTTTTTGCTTTTTCAGGGGAGGAACCCTCACACGATCAGCAGGAGCCTCCTTTCACTCCCAGCTAGTCGACTTCTGCTGTTTTTATTGACTCAGTTGATCCATTTCGATGTTCTGGTGCCATCTCTCTCCCACACTGCAGACACGGAGGCCTTTCGGATGTTCCACTCACTGCTCAGACAAACAAACTCCTCCGTCTCGCTGGAGTTTGTGCTCGTTTTTGCCTTGTTTACTGAGAAATATAAAGCCGGAGGGTCGTGCAGCTGGCTGAAAACGCACACTCCGTCTCATCGCCTGCGTTAAGAAGTGGGACATGGCGTACGTTTACACGTTCACACACTGTTCCTGTCATGTTAAAAGCCCGTGTCCCAAACATTTCAGGAACAGATCCAAGCGGCCTTGTGTTAGCATTTAGTGTGCTTTTTTTTTTTAAGAAATTTTTTGGAATTATATAATTTCTTCCTTTTTTCAGTCTACAGAAAAAACCCAAGTTGCTTTAGGTTTTCTAAAATCGCAGTATTTATGGCTATATAAAAAACCTGAAGTCATAATTTTCAGTATTAAATCAGCTCAAAGCTCCTTTATGGTCACTGACGAGAGCATGTGATGTTTACGGCTCCACCAGGAATGTACCCCAAAAAAACAAAACAAACAAAAAAAATCTTTGTCCTTAAAACATCCGTTTCATTTCTACGACGGAACTTTAGGGCCACGCTTAGGAAAAAATAAATAACTAAAAGCCATAAAATTACAAGAATAAAGTCTTAATATTACGAGAATAAAGTTGTACTTTTTTTTTTCCACGAGTCAGATCCACAATGCAACCTGTCAATCAGTCCAGTAGGTGTCAGCAAATGCTCCTTACCTGCAGAGCTGCGCTGCAGACCATCAGAGCGTACCACCTTACTGCAAGCAGGTTCAAAGTCCTGATACTGATAATAATCTGATGCTGATGTGCTCACAGATTAACTATCCTTATTTGTAAAACCAATACCAAAGTATAACTTAACAAGTTGCTCAACATTCTTCATTTTACCACAGTTCAAATGCTGTAAACCTGCTTTATCATGTCAGAGTTCGGATAATATTATGACTCGTTTAGCTTAAGATTGGTCATTTGCTGACACGCCTACTGGATTGATTGACAGGTTGAGTCGTGGAAAAATATTAACTAGAGCTGTTAAAAAAAAAAAAAAAAAGTCTTGTACGACTTTATTCTTGTAATATTAAGACTTTATTCGCGTAATTTTATGGCTTTAAAAACTTCTTTCTTAGCATGGCCCTAAAGCTCCGTCGTACATTTCAACGTCCAAGCTGAATTATATAAACGAGGAGGACCACAGATTTCTTCTTTTTTAACAAAGTGTGGAAGTATGTTTCAACCTGCATGTGTAGCCGTCTCATGCTGCCAGCATGTCTGTGATTATCAAAAAGAAAAAAGATCAATTTCAGTGTGTAAGCTAAGCTCTGCTCCAAAAAAAGCCACTCGGTCTGTAACTGTGTGTAAAAGCTGCCTCTCAGGGGGCGCGGTCGTCTTTCATTGTTGTTTTTTCTTTTAAAAGCCTCTTCACTCAGAAAGTGCCTCAAGATGACGGAGATGTTTCGGTTTTAACGCCACGGCAGGAAAGGCTCCGCTGGACGATGACAGTGTTTATTTTCTGAATCACTTTAAGAGTGTGCAAAATAAAAGAGATATTTACCGTTTCATATCAAGAATTGTATATGTCCTGAAATGTTCAAATGTTTATGTTCTGAAATGTTTAAACTTTATAAAGATTTCTTTAAAAGCAGCGTGTGTTTTACTTACCAGGTGTTTCGTGTAAAGCGGTAAACTTTAAATTTAGTTACATTATTGTTTAAATCTTTCGACCATTCATTCAACCTTTATTTAGACAAGTAAATCCCATTGAGCCTCGAGGACTCATTTACATTAAAAGCTGGAAAGCCTTTATCTGTTTTAGCTCGACAATAAACAACTGTGTCATCAGCATAGAAATGTATGGATGCATCAGGAATGTTTTGACCTAGATTGTAAAGAGGGTGGGTCCTAAGACTGAGCCTTGTGGTACACCATTGTTGACTGTTAAATAACTGGAGGAAGTACCATTATGTTGTCCGGTCAGAGATAGTTAGAGAACCAACCAATGGTGTGTTCTGAGAAACTGATTTCTGAGAGTTTATGACACAAGATGTTCTGATCCACAGTGTCAAAAGTTTTAGACAGGTCTAAGAAAAGTGCAGCACAATAATCCTTAGCATCCAGTGCTTCAACAACGTCATTAAGAACCTTCAGTGAAGCAGTGGTTGTGCTGTGTTGTTTCCTGAAACCCAAAGACCATACTTAAATGTTAGCTGCAGCTTTTCTAAAAAAAAACTACATTTAGACACTTAATGGGAAAATCTTTTATTTGTATTAATTCCACAGCAGTGCATTGAATTATGACATTTTAGCAGAATAAATAAAAAAAATAAAACTGCTCAGTCAATCCTGCAGTTTTCTCACATTCAGGAAAAAAAAAAAACTTTCTAAAAACACTTGACACATGTTGCCAATAGTGTGACCACTCCAAAGCAAACCAGAGCAATTTATCAGGAGAACCAGTGAAAGCTGAAACGCTGATCATTTCTGCACGTTGAACTCGAACTCAGCTTCCAGTGCAAAAATAAATTAAAAAAAAAAACACAGATATTTTAGATTAAAACCTAAAAAAAAAATGTTTGTCCTGGTTGTGATCTTGAGGCTTGACTTACTGTAAAATGGAGAAGATAAATATTTCAGAGAAAAGGTTTGCTCCAGTTTAAACTTGTATATTTAAATCAGATGAATGAAAAGATGGGCAGATAGCAAAGCTCAAGTCTGTTGTCCAGATCTGACTTTATACATTCGTTACAACCCGACTAACACGCTTGATGTTTTGGTCCATCACGTCTCCAGCTCGTACAAAATGCTGCAGCTCAGTTCTCAACAGGAACTCGTAGGTTTCAGCACATTTCACCAGTTTTGTCCTCCGTTCACTGGCTCCCTGTACGTATCAGAATAGATTTTAAAATTCTCCTGTTGATATTTACGTGCCTAAATGGCCTTACACACTCACACCTCTCTGACCTACTACAACCTCATGTTCCTTCTCGGGCGCTGAGATCTTCAAAAAGTTTTCAGTTGATCCAAAATGCTGCTGCCAGTGTCTTAACTGGAGTTACTGGGAGAGATCATACACGTATCTCTCCAGTTTGAGCTTCTCTCCATTGGCTCCCTGTCAAGTCCAGAACTGAATTCAAAATCTTCTAACCTACAAAGCTCTCAACAACCTAGCTCCATCTTATATTCGAGATCTTGTTGTTCCGTATTTTCCTAACAGAGCACTTCGCTCTCAGACTGCAGGTTTACTTGTGGTTCCTAAAGTTTCCAAAAGCAGAATGGGAGGAAGCTCTTTCAATTATCAGAATTCCTCTTGTTTTTTAATTTTTTTTATTTTGTTTTATTTACCCTTTATTTATCCAGGTAGTCTCATTGAGCCACAAGAACTCATTTTCAAGAGAGACCTGTTTAGGGAGCGGATGGTGAGGGTTGAGGGCCTTGCTCATGGGCCCAGAGTGGGGCAAATGAGGGTCCAGTTTCTGTCCGTAAGGCTGACACATTGTCCAGTTTTAAGACTGGGCTTAAGACTTTCCTTTTTGATAAATCCTATAGTTAAGGTTGGCTTGTTATACTGTCTTAAGTTTAGACTACTAGAGGACAAATTGATCTCAATTCATTTAAGGAATTAAATGAATTGTTAAAATTGAATAGTTTTCATTTGATACTATTTCTATCTTAACATGTGATTCTCAACCTGCCATTGTGTATCTGTTCCTACCACACCCAGCCGGTCAAAGCAGATGGTCCGCTTGTCCTGAGCCTGGTTCTGCTAAAGGTTTCTTCCTCATGTGGGAGTTTTTTCTTTCCACTGTCGCCTTCATGTTTGCTCAAGATGAGAGTTCTGTGATGGAGTTAAACTCAGAGCAGTCTGCTCCTCAGATAAATAGTGTTAAATTATTATTTTTATATGTGAACGTTTCTAGGACGACTTCTGTTGTGACTTGGCGCTATATAAATAAACCGAATTGAATCTGACCAGCTGAAGCTCAGAGATCGTGTTTTTTCAGTTGCGGGTCCTAAACTTTGGAACAATCTGCCCCCCCAACATCAGACAGGCCCCTTCACTTTCAGTTTTCAAATCTCTTCTAAAAACACCCGAGTTCACTGATTTAACACGGTGTGATTTGCACCAAAGTTCATGCTCAACCATCCAGGTATAAAATCCAACAATGTTAGGTCATCTGGACAGTTTCTTCTTTTTTTTTTTGCTGAGACGTGTCGTCCTTCATCCAAAGGACTTCCTCAATCTGAGGAGCCATTAAAACAAACTGATTCCCACAAACGGCATACGCCATAGTGAGAAAAAAAACAAAAAACAGTTTGCTGGTGCTAAGATGACCTCCAGGGCCCGTCCTCTCCCCCGTCAACTCCTCTGAGACAGTCCTGCCAAAGTGGTTCAAAACACTAAAGTTCATGCTCAACCATCCAGGTATAAAATCCAACAATGTTCAGTCAGGTCCTCAGGTCAGTCTGGTCCTGGCCACTTTGGTTTGACTGTCTCAGAGGAGTTGATGGGGGGCCCTGGAGGCCGTCTTAGCACCAGCAAACCGTTTTTTCCACTATGGAGTATGATGTTTGTGCGAATCAGTTTGTTTTAATGGCTCCTCAGATTGAGGAAGTCCTTTGGATGAAGGACGACACGTCTCAGCAAAAAAAGAAGAAACATTGTTTGACAGTGTGATTTAGTATTTTATTGTTTTTCTTTTGATGCGTTTAATTTTCATTAAATTACAGCCGTTGATTGTTATTGTTAAGCACACAGTGTTTAACCTAACTCAGTTTTTTTTTTAATTTTTTACAACTACTGAGCCAAAACAGTGTGGCAGTAGCTGCGACTGATCTTCAACACATCAAAAACTAAAACAGCTTTAACTCCATCCCCTCTTAGAAAATCATCTAAACCAAAAACTGTGAAAGGAGGCGAGAGATACGCACTTATTAATATAAGAGTCTTTAATTAGAATTAGTTAAGCCTGATTATTAAAAGATAAGCTAAATATTTTGATTCTGGTTTTTAGTTCAGGCTTCAGGTTAGAAGCTAATCAGCGGGTCCTCACCTACAGACTGAGCGGCCGCTCCATGGACCCCCCCAGCTTCTGTAAAGCAGCACAGAGTCCAGCTTTCAGCTCCGAGTAGTTGGGCTGCTCAGAATACTGCAGAGACATCACCGTGGACAGGTAGGCCTGAAATGCATCTACACGCACACATTAACAAACAGCTTCACACTTGTTGTTAAAAAAATGTACAAACATCCATAGTGTAACAACAAAGCAAACACTTCCTGAAATGATCTCAAATTTTAACAAGCAGTACTCCGATGCCCCCGTCGCTGAGGGATTTTTGAAGAGCAGATGTTTTGTAGTTTTTAAGATGCGTGTTTTTCTGAACTGGAGTTGCAAGTAACCTTAATGTTTTTGGTGAAAGATATTCATGAGGGGCAGGAGTTACACTGTGGAGAAGAACAGAGGGAGTTGGTTTTTTTCTCGTCTGAGGCGGCCTCCTGAGCAGAGAGCAATTTTACCCACAACCAGGCACAACGGCGGAGCCAGGGGGTGGCCTTGACCACCATAGATGAACCTCCTGGGACCTGGCATCCACATATGCAAGAGGTCAGGTCTTAGGAGGTTAATCTTCAACGACCCACTGGCCACCCCAATAATGAGGAAACTATAAACTTAAACTGTATGTGTGTATATAATAAACTGGCCATTGTTGGATTTAATATTTTATACCTTTTTATAATTCCTATCGAGCACTCAAATGTCATGTCACATAAAGTGTGTACGTGTCTTTCTTCCAGGGTTGAACTATGTTTATAGAAAATGTTTGCTAATTCTAACTAGTTGACCTTTAAATATAATCTCATAGGAGCTAAGGATAATTTTACAAGTTCACATTTGATAGATTACAAGCAATCAAATCAGGCCTTTCAGAACCTTTCAGAACAGATTAGAGCAGAGACTGATTAACATAAAAAAGCTAGAACACATCTCTTTAATTTAGACAATATAGTTTGACTAAGTAAAATCAAATCAAAGGTATAAAAATGATCCAAATAAAAACACAAACATGAGTTGGATAATAATTAAGTTATTAATTACTCCTAGAAATAAACAACTTGATTTCTAATCAGTTGGTATCACTAAGGTATAATCACGTTAAACAAACAGTGTTAACAGTTTTAAACGCAGACAAGGAAACCAAGATGAATCTGCCTTAAAAAACAGAATCACCAGGCCTCCAACAGATATTGAATTAACACCCATGAGGTAGGTAATAATTAATAGTTATTAATTATTACGTATAAACAATTTAGACACGAATCATTTTGTATCCCTAAAGTATAATAGCAAGTTAAACTTTAAACAAAAGCCGATTTCGGTGTACCAAAACTTATCTGAAATATAGACGTTAACGTCATTAAGGGGGCGGGCTAAGAGTCGTAACCATAGCAACAGAAGCTGAACCAATCAGGAAGCTAGCCTTCTCAAACGGGGATAAAAGGCCGGAAATGACACACGCCCACCGAGCATTTCCGGTAGGACCGCGCGGCGACGGTTCGTTCTTAATGCTCCAGATTATGCATATATCTTTTTTATAATTGTTTGTCTCTGAATATCTGTAACCCATGTTTTGTCAAATAAATCTTTTATACGAAGGGCGACGCCTCAGCCGTTTTGAACACGACGTGGTATTCCAGCCACGACACCATCCCTATCATTTGACGAAACTATACGTTTTAAACACTGTAAAAACTAGAAAGCATAGTTTCCTCAAATGACAGGAAGGGACATTATACAGTATATACATATATTTAACGTGGCAACCCAGTGTTTAATAGGGACCTTTCTTACGTCTAGATGCAGCCACAAATCAAAATGTTTGGGGCATTGCTTATTTTTTGTTATTCAGCTCACAAGACTGATGGACGGACAGTACTTTTAAGTCCCCCCTTTGCTTCGTGACCCAGGACAACAAAAAAGTACATGTTTTTTTTTTTATGGGTGGAAAATTGCATTCACTAAAAATGAAAACTACATTATGTGTGTTAGAATGTGCTCAAAGAAAGCCAAACTATGGTGTGCAGCGTGGATTTTTTTTAATTCAAGGACAAAAAAGCCCCAACTGGAAAGCAGATTTGGACACAGTAAACTGAAATTTAAAACAAGTGACTGCATGTTTGACAGGAGCTGGACTTCCCACTAGGCCTGTCACGATAACAAATTTTGCTGGGCGATTAATTGTTTCAGAAATCATTTTGATAAACGATAATATTCTTTGAAATTTGACAATAATTAGTAATTATTGTCAAATTTAAGAAGAAATGTTTAATTTATTTTGAGTAGTATTTTTTTTTTTTACCACTGAACAGCAGTATAAGATCCGAGCGATGGATAGTGAGGGAGCGAGCAGCGTGTCTCTTTAAGAAAAATGGAAGGGAGGCCCCTTGACGTTACATGGGCTGTCTCTCCTTCCTTTTTTTCCGGTTCTCAAAATGGCGAACGTTTGGCGTGGTTTGAGCTCTTTAGCAAAGCATTTTTCACACAAAGCTTTTAATAAAAAAATAATGAATAAATCAGTAAACAAGTTCTCAGCTTCTTTTTGCTGAGAAAAACATTTTACACGAAGGCACGGGTTTCAACCGTGAATTCTGGAGCTTTGACAAGACGAAGGTCTTCCCCCACCCCCCCCCCCCTCCCCCCCCTGTTAGCTTAGCTCGTAGCTTAGCTTCTTAGCTGCTGTTAGCGATCCAAAAACACGATTTTGGACGGTTAAAATGGATTTTAAAGAGAAAAGAGAAAGTGCGGGGTCAGTGAAGAGCACCGGAGTTGAACCTTTTGTCATCCAGTGTCTTCAGTAGAAAGAAAGAGGCGAAGAAACGATAAAGCCGATAAATTAAAATGAGGTCGATAATTTTCACTTATCATGCGATTAATTGATTTGTTGTTTATCGCGACAGGTCTACTACGCACTTAACGTGTGTTGCATCGCAGACAGATCAGACATTAAACATTTGATTTCTGTTGTAAAATTTACATCCCTCCAACCTTGTTCAATTTTTGATCAATAAAATGTGTAATTGTTCAACATGAAGCCTATTTAATTTAGTTTGCCTGGGACATATTTTTACTCAGATATTTACACGTTTGTTTGTTGTTTTGTTGGGGGGAGGTGGACCCCGTGGGCCAAACACACACAAAATGTTTAAACTCACTTGAAACTTTCTTCTTCCCAAAGCAGTGGCTCATCAAAGCTTTAACATCCTCCATGTACCTGCAGGGAAAGTGTTTTTACTGATCTGTATCTCTGGTTTCGTATCTGGTGAGCGTCTTTATTTACCTCTGTTTCTGGGCGGCCACCTGGTCGGGTTCAGTGAGCTCGGACCACGGCAGCGTCCCTGTGTGCCAGTGCAGCATGCAGTAACCCAGAGACTGCAGGTCGCTGCGACGAGACGGAGCTGAGACACAGGAAGGACACCCAGCATCACCTGCCAGCTTGTTTTTATGACCAAACACGTAGGAGACATTTTACAAGAAAACATTTATCCCATCGCGTGTGCCAGATGGTGTGTGGGTGCAGAGATGGAAGGAAGAAATCTGGGAACGATTGGTTTTGCAGAAACATACACGATTAGGCGACGCCTGGAGTGAGTTTTATTTTTTAGACGAGGATGAGGAGGACCAAGAAAAAACACGCACCTGCTCCTTTGTGAGCATCCAAGCTGATGAACTCCACGGTGCCTTCGTGCGCCGTTCTGCTGGCTTCACGGTACTCGACGTGCTGACCTCCGGGACAGAATCTGAAGGCATGGCAGTACCCGACCAGAAGCACCTAAAAACACAAACACACAAACAGCTGAAGAAAGATGGCGCGTACAGAAAAGTACCAGATTAAAACTGAGGACCCGAGCACAAAAAGAAAGCAAATAACATGATCGGAGATTAGAAAATTTAACAAATACTAATAAAAATAACACAACTACAACAACACAATGAAATATTAACTGAAAAAATAGAGCATCTAATTAAAAATATGTAAAACAAAATAAAAAAAAACATCCTGCGACGGTTCAGACAACATTATAACTTAAAAATACACCTTCAGTGTTTCTGAAATCATGACAACATAAAAAAATATTTAAAACAAGAAGTACAACTAGGTTTGATTCTGTACATTTGGTTGTTGAACGGTGTGAAGTCTGTTTTTGTTGCCCTGAGGCTTCCACAGAGTTCGAAAAGGTTTCTCACCTGTGATTTCTGTTTGATGTAGACGTTCTCTGCACTGATGTCAGCGTGCACATACTCGTTGGAATGCATAAACTGCAGCACATCCAGCTGAAAGCACAAAGAAAATCCACAATTTACCAGAACAGCATAACCCAACTGATGAACCCATGATGGGAATAAACCACTCACTATTCTACAGGTGAGCTGCAGAACATCTTCCTCTGACAAAAGCTTGTTTTCCTCCTCGATCACCGAGTGGAGAGAGCGACCCATGTTGGGGAAAATAAGGAACCTACATATAAAAAACAAAAATCCCAGTGTGAGAAAACGCTGCAGCAGGTTGTGTAAATATGCACAGGTTTAACACACACCTGTATGAATCTGCATGAAGGCCAAAGCCGACACAGGAGGGAATCCCCAGAAAATCCATCTTGTTCTGTTTGACCCACTTGTCCACTAAAGGGTGAGAATAAGCAGAAGGCTCAACGTGTTAGTCCTGACACGTCAGAACTGTTTCTATGAAAAGAGTCAAATGTGTTTATTCTGAATCACACTGAGGAAACTGCACTCGAAACAACATGAAACTACAAGACGGCTTCTCTGGAAGTCTATTTTAGAGAATATTTCATCGTAGGAATGCTGATTCAGCATACACACGTTTCCCCATCTGTAGTTTCTACCCTTTTTTTTTTAACAAATACCTCAGCAAACTATCAGCTACTTCAGCCGTTCAGGCATCAAAACGTTCAGCTTGTTCAGGACTGTTAGTGTTTGTAACTTTTACACTTGGTGAATTGTTTAGTTTTCCTGTTCTTCACCAATTTATCTCTTCTAATCCTGGAAAAACGTATGCTTTTTAAAAGCTAACTCAGCATACTTGTTTCAGTTTGAGCTTTTAGCTACCGTTTTGCTAGTTTTAGCTTTAGCTTCTGGTTTTTGAAGGTCTAGCAAAACTGGACCAGCAGTAAAACCAGCGCTGTTCTTGAGGACTGAAACTCACCAGTTGCAGGTTTAGCAGCTCTCTGCAGAAAGTTCTGCTCGTTGAAGATCCTTCCCTCTTTAGCTCCCTGAAGTTAAAAACACAGAAAATAAACTGGAACGTTCGGGAAAACGATACAAAAATCAACGATTTGTCATAAAAAGGGCGAAACAAGTCAAGTCAGATTTATTCATATAGCACATTTAAAACAAGTGCTTAACAAAAAGATCGCAGTATCAAATAAAAATTAACAAAATATAATTACAGCACAACGTCTAAAAACACAAAACATAATTAGAAACAACGAAACAGTAAATCCGATCACCTTGTGTCAAATGTCAAGGAATACCAACAAAAAAGCATAAACACAGAAAGAAAATGTAAATAAATGCAACGTTTCTAAAATACCAGTAATGGGATCTCAGACGGGCTCAGAAAACTTGTTGGTACTGACCAGTTTGAGAACGTGATCCGATTCTTTCAAACCGGGTCGTGAAACTGAAAAGAACAAACACATGTTTGGATAATATTATTTCCTTGATTTGTTTTATAATTCAGCCCAGAATCAGCAGTGACCAGCTGCAATATGCTACTTGTGTTACTTTTAGCTGCCATTTAGCTACTTTTAATCAGCCTTTTGATGCATATAGCTTTTAGCTACTGTTCGGTTACTTATACTTTTGAGCTACTTTTCAGTTATTTTTATATTTTAGCTAGCTTTTGCTCAATTTAGCTTTAACACTTAGTTACTTTCAGCTTTTAGTAAGCTGTGTTAGCCTTGTGATACTTGTAGCTTTTAGCTAGTATTTTCTTCTTTTAGCTGATGTTCAGCTTTATTGTATTCACTCGTAAAATTGACTAGTTTCATCTACTAACCCACATTAGCTGCGTCTTTGTCAAGTTTTTTTTAGAGCAAATTTAAAATCATGAGTTGACTGTACAATATGTCCGGTGTAAAATCAGTAATTAGTCAAAACTTTTATAAACTTTACTGAACTCAGGACTGTTTGCTGTGCATAAAAAACAGCTATATGATATTTTTACAACTAAGTGTTGGTCTTCACTTAGAAAATATTTTTCCAGTTTTGGTTTCTCTTGGCACTTTGAACACTAAATACGAAATCGGATACTTTTTGTTCCTCTTACTTCCTGAAGTCTCCGACCTCACCTTCATAGAGGAGCTCCGCCATGCTCCGACTGAGCAGCTTCATCAGTTTCCACTTCTTCCCCGTCGTGTCCGTCACCTCCTCGCCTTCCTGCAGCGGCTCCACCGTCACTGCGTGCTTCGCCTTCTTGGCTTTGCTTCTCCCTGTTGCTCATTTAAAGAAATAAAAAATGATTCACGTTAAAGCAACTTTGCACACAGAGGTTTTATGTAAACTCTGTCTCCTGCAGTCCACATTCGGCTAAGTCGTACAAATGACAGCTAACAAACAATTAATTTATGACTATTTATTTGTCAGTTGTTTCTCTTCAACTAAATGTTATTTAACATGATAAAGGGTAAAAAGAGAAACAAAACAAAAAAACATGTCGGTAACACTTAATATGTACATGTGAAAAACTCATGTCTTGTGTTTTCTTTATTTTACCCTGTTTCATCATATTTTGTTTGTTCTTGTTATTTTACAACTAATAAGTAAAAATGTCAGCTTTTATGTTTAATTCATCAACACTTGAGCACCATCCTATGAAGTTATCCACATTTTATTCTAAAACTATTTAAATATCGACTTTAAGAAAAACAAAATGCCGCATACAAAACAAAAATTATGCAGCGATTTAAACGTGGCAAGTGTGCACGATCCTGTGTTTACTTGCAGCAGGTGGTAGTGGAAGACAAGCTGAAGCTCACCTTTCGAAGGAAACTTGGAGATCGGTGAAGGAACGAGTCCGCCTGCTGTTGAACCTTCGGACTTTTTTTCTTCTGCTTCCTCCTTAGCAGGACTGAGGACTTTCCCCTTTCCTCTGACTGCACAAGGATCATGAAAGAAAAGACACAAAAGATGAGACTGTGGTTTTCATGAATCATCGATGTCACTGTGAATAAATGTGGTGATAATGCAGGGCTGTTTCAGCTCACCACATCGAGGGGATTTTACGACGGGGGCCTCCATCTCCACATCAGCTTTAACAACAGCTGTGTGCAGCGTTGAAGGCGAGCCAGGAACAGAAACACTCTTATCTGTTGAGAAGCATCAAATCATTTTAAAAGAATAAAAGCTCTTGTTTTGCCTTCCTGTTTCATGTTATTCGTGCTAATCACACACAATAAAAGACTTTGGGTGGAAAAGTGCAGCTGCAAGTGTAAAGTTGGAACAAACAGATTACTGCAGTTATATTGCATCAGTTTGGATTTTTGTTTTTATTAAGACGACTGTTGGCACGCACAAAATAACTTTCTAAAGTAACGGTTTTAAAATCCAGAAAATGTCAGCATGTACAGTTCTGTGCAGAAAGCTTGTCCAAATCATTTCTTTATATTTTCAAAGAGGTTTTATTTCCGACCTTTTAAAATGAAGTCCCCTCTAATAATTAAGTAGAAAGAACCAACGACAAAAACAAAAAGATGCCCAAGAGGAAGAGTCCTGCTGTTCATGCGAATGACACTTTGACATGTTCAATCTAATTCAACCTGAAAGAAATTGCTGACCGAAGGCTTCAATTAGTGGAAACGCTGTTCCCAGAGGGCAGCCTTCTTTTTCAGCAGGACAATATTCTGTGCAGCACAACAACCGTTCAATAATGATTTGAAAAACACCAATCGGCTCAATCAGCAACTGAGGGAAATGCTGAACTGACAGGTTTGATAAATTCAAGACCCAACTTCAAAACGTTCTGATACTGATGATTTTGGAGGCAGGTACCTTACGATGCCTAGTGGAATCAATGCTACAGATGGTCAAGCAACAAAGACATGCAAACTGATTATTTGACAGGTGGAGGCTGATCTGTGACCTTACGCAACAGGAACTCTTTTAAATATTATTTTAGGACACCTTGAAGGTACAATAATAACCTTTTGCAAAATTACTTTTTATTGACTTCTCATTTGCTTGTAACTACATTCAGCCCCACATAGCAGAAAATGTACAATGTCTACGGTCTCAGCTCTGGCCTCAAATGTTGGCTTGTGGACTTTTTAACTGTTTGGTCTCAGCGGGTGAGGGTCAACGAGGTTCTCTCTGACGTCCTTCTGTCCTCTACCGGTTCCCCTCAGGGCTGCGTTCTTTCACCCCCTTTTATTCATTTTACATACAAACAATTGTTGCAGCCAGTTCTCACAGCGTCACATCTTAAAGTCTGCTGATGACTCTGTCATCCTGTTCCTTCTCATCAGTGATGACCCAGACCTGGGCCTGTGGTCAGGGACGTCACTGAATGATGGGGCTTTCTTTTTAAAGTTAAATGTTTCTAAGACAAAGGAGATGGTCACTGATTTTACAAAAGACTCTTCAGTTGCAGCTCCTGCGGTCATTAAAGGTGAAGCTGTTGAGGTGGTGCATCAATATAAATATCTGGGAACTGTTCTCGATGACAAACTGACCTTTGACCCCCATGTGAACTCACTTTGTTAGAAGGCCCATCATAAAATGTATTTTTATCAGAAGCTCTGTGGTTTTAATGTTGATTCTACTTTTGTGAGAATGTTTTATTGAGTCTTTTAACGTTCACCTTTATCTGTTGGTTTGGATTGTTAACATGCAAAAACAGGAACAAACTCTCTGGGATTGTCAGAATGTGCCACAAAACTGCTGGCATAGCCCTACAGAACCCCACTGACCTACACAAGTTGAGGTCAGTGAACAAGGCCAGGCTGATTCTGGCAGATCCTGATCACTCCATGGTGAGCTCAGGTTGCTTCCATTTGGATGCAGGTATCTGAAGCCCAGATGTTGGATGAACAGACAGAAAAACTCATTCATCCCTGTAGAGATCAGGCTTCTAAACGAACAGTGATGATTTCTGTACTTTTATTTTAATGTCTTATCGTCTTCTTTAGTATGAATGTTTTATTTGGCTACTGACAGTGAAACAAATTGCCCCTTGGGGGTAATTAAGATTCTTGAACTTTATCATTCAGGTATTACTACACATCTATGATTAAATCTCTTTGCAATCTCTTATCAGGAAAACTAATCTAAATGTTAAAAGTTTCATTTACCAGGAGTCATGTCATTTCCAGCAGGATTAGTGGAGGACACCATGTGTGTAGAAACATCCTGGATGCTAAAATGAACTTCCTTTTCCAGCCGCAGGGAGTTACGAGTCTTTTTCAGAGCAGGGCGAGGTGAAACTACAGTTGAAATGAAAGAAGCTGAAAAAAATAAGACATTTATAACCACGAAAATAAAAGGTAAAACAAAAAAAGTTACGAAGAGCTTAATGCAAAGACTTTCACCTTTACGTTTTGTAGACTCACAAGGTGAAGCAGGGCTTGTGTTAACGGATGTCGTGGCTTCATGCTTTAAAGAGGCAGATGAGGTTGAAAATCCAGTTTCATCAGCAAAGCAGGGAAGTTTCTCCCCACACCAAGGACAAAATTTAAAACCAGGCTGAAGCTTTGTCCCACACTGGGGACAAAAACTGAAAGGCATGCTGCGAAAAAGAACACGCACGTCATTTAACAAACATCTTCAAAAACTCTGAGGCACAACTTGTGTCTAAACAAAATGTAACCTTCACTGCAAAATGCAAGGAGTTTTAACAAAAAATAGGCTCTAATTTACACTGGAATGTCTAAAATATGTAACATTTTGTAAATGTTTTAAACAATTTATGGTAAATGTTGACATTTGGGTTTTTATTTACATGCTAATAACATTTACTAATATTATTAGAAATTTAAAAATGAAACAAACTTCCATAATTATTATTTCTTTCCAACAACAGAAGGCCAAAGGTTTGAACCTGTCTTCATCTTTTGCGATTTCTTTAATGGATATTAAGAAACTTTTTTACAGTACAAAGTACACAGAAGATGTTTCTAAACTTGTTCCGCAAAAATGATCTTAAATCAGCTGGTTTTGAGTTTAGGAATCATGTCGACTAAATTTTAAACGTTAATCCTTAATTTCTACTTTTAATTTACAAAAAAATAAGCTTTGAAGCATTCTGCTAATAATCGCACAATCTTGTTTACATCGGTTAGACGCTTTTTGACTATCACTTATTTTAAAGGCAGTTACTATTCTAGACAATAAATGACCAGCTAACATTTTAAACATTAAAATTACGAATCCAGTATGTTTTATAGCTTAGCTTGTTCCCGATTTTAAAGAAGCGACATCTTCTTACCTTAAAACTTCCGATGTTAGGGAGGTTCTTCTTCGTCGAATAAAAATCGAGTAGGACAACGCGCGCAGCGGAAGTGCTGCCCCCTGCAGGACAGGAAGGGATGTGCAGGCAGCTTCTCGCAGACTGGCATTAAAAATGTACAGACTTGAAAATTCAGCAGCACAGATAACACGGAATGAGAAATATATTTGTTTTTCTGTGACTTAAAAGTATTTTCAAACAGCATATACTCATACTTTATTTAAAGCTGTGACTCCGGGTACCTTTTATGCATCAATATGCTGTATTATTTTACATTATTGTTTAGCGTGCATCTTATATACAATTTCGTTTTATACTTTTGCTAATTTTGGGTGTAACTGGGACCTTGAGTACACAATTTCGTTCCACCTCATGTACCACGTGATGCAGGTTAAAAAAGGCCCGTGTTGGCGAGATGATAAAACATTCATTGTCATAAAGTTTTATTATTGGTCAACATTCCCAACGCCATTGGTTACAAAATAATAAACTCCCCTTGGTAAATAAGGTTTGACGACATTAAATACAGTACAGGTTCAAGGTTATACATAAATAGAAATGTTTATTTTGGACATACGGTATTTTACACAATTTGAAAATAAAAGCATGGCACAAGTTACAGCACGACGCACTAAGTTGATGGGATCTAATTCTAGCAACTTTCAAATATGTAAATTACTGGCTGAAAAATCAAATATCGTTTTGTTTTTAAAGACCACAAGTATGTAAAACAAAATAAAGTGTAACACAAATGTGTGTAAAACAGTTAAATACTACATTAATCCAGTGTTTATAAGTTTCTACATTAAAAGCATTCGGTGATGGGAAAATAACTAGACCCATTTGTATTAACTTATTTACGAAAGATACCGAAACAGCAGCTCTTCTTTCAGTTTTGAACAAAGCAACCTATTCAGCAGCCCAGCACACACAGACTTAACTTGGTTTCTATTAAATAATGAGCAACCTTTAGCATACAATATCTAATGGCAACAGTTTGTGGGAGAAATCTTGCTTCACGGAGTCAATACGTTAGATTTAATTTAATTAAAAAACAGAAGGCCAAATTGCCAAACGTATGGCATTTTGCAGAGATAATCCCCACATCGAGCCTTAAAACACTTCAAATACCTTCAGGACATAAAAATACAAGTTTATAATACATGGATTATTGTCTGAAAACACTTGAGGGCATTAAGACAAAAATAAGGGATGCAACAGAGAGGACGAAGTTCTAAATGTTCTCATTTGATGCAAAACTTCTGTTTTCAAGTTTATTTGATCAGACGGCAACATGGACCATTTAATTTATCTCCCACACAAAATCTTTGTACACAAGCCAATGAATTAAGGGATTTGTTAACCGATATGTTGCAAAACGAGGGATGAGTTAGGTAATATATGCATAAACCTTTAATGCATTTATTGTGTTTTAACTTCTCATGACATTTTTTTAATCTAATTACAAAAATATTTTTGCAACTACTGGCCACAAGAGCACTTAAGAGTGGAAAACAAGCAGTCGCCCTGCAAACCCTGGCTGGACAGGAAGGGCTACATTTATCTGGTGGGACTGAAGACGTTCAGTAAATTATCAGCAGCACAAACTGGTCACCTAAAGTACGTCCTGACGACTGATTTTGTCTTGAAAATACGTATTTACAGCACGTGCAACATGCAGCAGACATTCATTTGGAGGATAGTTTATAAATGAACTTGGCACGTTTTGCCGATTATTGAAACTGAACGCATCGTCAGCGTTTAATGCACCAACACCCCAAACTCTTAGCCAAAGTGAATAAATCGTTCGACGATGACGATACTGAAACCGTTCCTCACGTCAGTAAATCAGGAACACATTGTTCGTGGAGCAAACGCACATAATGATGATTAAGTTTTTTTCTTTTTTTCTTTAACACAAAATATAATAAAATTCCCCACTTGCTATACTCTGATACCTTCCCACGTTCCTCCAGTACTACGTGAAACACAGACGTGCAACTAAATCCATTCTAACATGCACATTTGCCTCTATCGGAGCTCTCCTGGAGGTTTGCGTTGGAGGGGCCGTTGGCACGGACCGTCCCATCCGGGATCCAGGACTTGTCGACGCAGCGCTCCATCCTCTTCATGATGAGATCCAGGAGGACGTCGACGGCTTTGCCGACGTTCTGCCCACTTGCAGCACTCGTCTCAAAATATGGGATTCTGCACAACGGAGTTAAAGAAGCTGAATAAGAGCTCATCTTTATTCGAACAGCACATTTTTTAACCAAACAAGTTCGTCTTTGCAACAATTCTTCCGATGTGTCAAAATCAAAACATTATAATTTGGAAGATTTACGTTTTATATTCTGGCTGTGAGATCATTTGGCACACTTTATACTTTGCTGGTCAGTGTGGCTTTAGTAAAGGTGGAACCAGAACCGGATATTTTACACATGTGGGTAAATATTTGCTTTTCGAGGAGTTCAGTCTTGAGCGGAGTCAGGCAAACAGTGCAGCCACTGCCTTCTTGACAAATGTTTCAGGGAGAGGTTTATGCACAGATGGATCAAACACTTCGACACACATACCCGTATTTCTCTGCCAGCTCACGAGCCTCTTTTTCACTGACTGCTCTCTGATCCGCCAGGTCACATTTGTTGCCACAGAGGACCACATCTGGATTCTCACAGTACGCGTGAACCTGTAATTGACCTGAGAGACACACTCAGGTGTCATTATTTAATCCAGAGTGTAACAGCTTTCACAAGAACTTCATTCTGAAGGACAACACGTGACATTAAGCAGCAGATTGTTGAGCGTCAGTAAAACGTTAACTTGTAATTCAGCTAACTGTTCGCGGATCGTCTCTTGTGCGAACGGCACATCGAACTGGACACATCTGGAGACGTACTCATCCAGTTTCTGACGTTGAGGAAACTTTGCTCGTTCGTGAGATCAAACAGGAGAAGAAAACCCATCGCATCTCGAAAAAAAGCCGTCGTCAAACTCCGAAACCTGACAATGATTTGTGGGGAGGGGGAGAAAAAACAGATTTTAGAAATATGTGCAGATGATATTTTTAAAGACAGCTGTTTTTAAAAGCAGTTGTCAGCTTCAGAAGAAGTCGGGACACCTTTCCTGTCCTGCTGTGTCCCACAGCTGCAAGTGGATCTTCTGTCCTTTGCCTGGAGCTCCATCTGGACCTGCTGGATTGTACACCTGAGGGAGGCGGAGACAAAAAACACCTTTAAATATTTAACCCGCTCAGATTCCATCAAAGTTTCACAAACAGAACAAAGGCCTCACAGATCAAAGAGTTTAAAGAATCTTCATTTTGCATCTATTCTGAATTCATCCGTCCCGTGTCTTTGGACCATCTGAACCGTTCTGCTTTGCTTTGGTGTGAAGCGCTTTAGTGTCTCACTCTTCTGCTCGTAGAGTCCCTCTTCTGGACAAACGTTCTTGTGGCTTCACCCGGACCGTGCTGGAGCAGCCCCGTTTAAAGAGCGCGTAAAGCCGGTGTGCACCAAGACTCTGGTTAGAAAAGTCCACCGCCTTTTTCAAATGAGAAAATTAAACACAAACTAAAAATCCTTCCATGGTTTGTTCCGTTATTTCAAACACTGCAGACACTTCTGCAGCCCAGCGTGCTTCGGGAGGGGCAGTGAAGGTTAAAGAAAAACTTGATGCGATTGTCGTTTCTCACAGCCGAGACCTGTGCAGATGCAGTGCAGTAACTGGATGCATTTTATTATTAATTCAACAAAAGTCATTTTGTGGACGACTAATTGTCCCGACTCATTTTAACAGCCGGATGTCCTTCAGGAGCTGAAGGTTGGCATTCAGCAGAGAACACTGTAAATATGAAGACTAATCAGCTGTTTGCCAATGGTAGGAGTGTTTATTCTTCAGGAGGGAGCTGCCATACCTCAGTTCTGTTACAACATTCATCAGATGACTTTTATTCATCTATTAAAATGCATTACAGCCTCCAAAGAAGCTGCTCAAACTGCATTAAACATTTGGAGAGTCTCTGGTTAATAAAGAAACCTTCCCATCTGGACTGATAAAAGTGTAAATACCTTTCTTTTTTCTCTGAAGTCTATTCCCACTGTAGTGATGAACTTGGAGTTAAACTTGCCGTCGGTGTACTGGTACAGAAAGCTCGTTTTTCCCACACCGGAGTCCCCCAGGGCTAGGAATTTGATGAGGTAATCATAGTCCCCATCAGACATGGTGATTCCTTAATTTCTGCACAAAACAACAACAAAACCACAACAAATGCTGAACAGTCTGATGGTGATCAAAGCATAAAGCCTGGATCCAAACTCCAGAAAAATCTGAAAGTTATCCATTAGGAGTGGACTGAAGGTGTGTTCTCAGTAAATTAAAATAAAAAACACAGAAACTGCTCATGGTTTGAAACTTTATTTTCTCCATTTGTTGCTAGCGTGCAAATGCATTTTATAATAAGATTTAAACCGTCTGTAACTGAATTTGAAGCTGGATCTCAATTTGATGCGTTTTCCCCTTGAGGCAACTTTGGTTTTGTAAACAGGCACTCTTTAAATAAACTGATTTAATAAGAGTCACATGCTCCGTGAGCAGACTGAAATGCCTCAGTCAGAAACAGCTCTACTGCACGAGCACCTCATAGTTGCACCGTTCTGCCACGGACAATTATTATTATTATAGTACCGTATTTTCCGCCGTACACGTCGCACCGCCCTATTGGTCACATCAGTTCAAATACGTCTAATAAAGTGGAAAAATCCATAAATACGTTGCTTCGCTGTATACGTCACATCTATTATGCAACACCGCTGACGCGTCGCGTTTGTTACACGCCACCGCTGACAACACGGAAATGTGGGCCGGTGTTGTGCCAAAAAAAAATAAATCGATTGGATGCCAAATGGCGGCTGCAGGAGCGTGCACAGGAGGACTTAAACAAGAACTTAACAAGATTAACACTTAAAAACTGAAATGAAGCAGATTTGACGGTTGCTCCAGGCGAGCTGGACAAAGGTGACAGACTATGGCAAGCCGATTGTGTCATTAATAGCCACTATTACCCATTTCATGACGCAGCAGCATGCCATACTACTCGGGTGCCATCTAGCGGTTGAACATGGTAGTGTTCAATAATTTCAGTCAGAATTGAATGAAAACGGTCATATCTCAGCCAAAAATGTGTTTATAAATACGAGAAAAAATCCATAAATGCGTCGCTTCGGTGTAGAAGTCACAGGGCGTGCAAATTATGAAAAAAAACACGACTTATAGGCCGAAAAATACGGTAATTTAACTTCTAAAAAGGCACTTTAAAAAACGAAGGTATTTTACAAACGGAGTTACGGAACAATCAAAGAAAAAAGGCAAAGGTGTCCTTTAGTAAACTTTATGAAAGATGCACTGAAGTTATTACAGAAACTTTCATCAAAGAGTCCGACCATCTCCCCACGCCCTCCGTGACAGCACAGAACTGACGAGTAGAAACAAACCCATGAAGAAAAGTGTTGCAACAGCGTTTATCCTGCACCATCAGGCTCGTTTTAATTCATCTGGACGTATTACAGGTTTAGCTCGGGGGGGCTTTACATTCTTCAGAGTTATTTTAGGTGCAGATTCTTGTAGCCACGAGCTAAAAGAAATTAGGTTATTCCGTTTCCTCCAACAAAAGACTGAACAGTCAGAACTTTGGTTAAATATTGTCGTGAACAGCACTGTGTAAATATTTCATTGTACAAAAAAACCAAGTCTAATTCCAAACGTTAATCACACCCAACTTGCTGATTTGAAATGGTTCGCCAAGTCTTGTCAGATTCATCACGAGGAGTGGGTCCAGAAGATTTCACACGAGCCTCACATTCTTTCCCTGCACGCACCGCCGAGCCTTTTATTCAGACTTAAAAGCAGATTAAGGTCTTGTGCAAAACTCAAGAGACATAATAAACGCACCATGAAGGAAACGGGTGCGACAAGCACGGACATGTCCGTAAACGGTGCAGTAAATAATACTTTTACAAACCATCTCGCTTTTCATGGGGCTGAAGATAAACCTGATTACCGTAATTTCTAGACTATTGAGCGCACCAGAATATAATCTGCGCCCAACAAATAAAATAAAAAACGTCCATGTTGTAACATGAGACATTTACGTAAAGATTGTTTTAAGCTTTTATTTAAATAAGTATAGTAACAAACACAAATATGTACAGAATTTTATTTTCTGAACATTGCCTGCAACACAGCTGGTTAAAAAATATAAAAATAAAGTCGCCTACAAGGAAGTCACTGGTCGTGATCTTCACCTTTCTCTTGTGCAAGCAGCCCCTTCTGAAACAGGAGGATGAGAGGGGGAGAACGGGGAACCTCTCCTCCCGTTTCATTGGTCCACTGGGACCTGTTCAATAATTTAGTTGGTCAGATAATTATTTTTTAACCTTTATATATACAGGTAGTCTGAGTCACGAGGATCCACCCCCCAAGACAGACGTGTATTGGGCAGCTTTGTGAGCACCCCGGTGTGACGAGGCTAAATGTTTTGGCGGCATGATGCTCGTTAGTCCGCCCAAAAAAATAAATAAATCCATAAATTTGTTGAAGCATTGTATAAGCTGCTGTGTTCAAAGTGTGCGGGAAAAAGTAGCGACTTATAATCCAGAAATTACGGCAATTTATTTTCACTTCATATAATCAAAAATTCATCACAATTAACGAGGCACGAAAGCAAACGCCAATCCACAATCACAAAAACCTCCTGTGTAATCCTTCAGGAAATCCTACATAAAACTAATAAAAAAATATGTATTAAAACTTTAAGAAAACAGATGAACAATCCAGTGCAAAACAGAAACTGATCCGAGATAAAAAATTTATTAAACGATAAAAAAAAGTGCAAACATAAAATAAACTGTATAAATAGATACAAATGTCCCGTAGATATAAAAATCTTTTGTTTGTTTGTTTCTAACAAAGAGAGAGAAAACAGTTAAAATCAGGATGTATTTATGAAAAAACTGTTATAAAAGTTTATTCCTCCACACTTAATGTCATAAAAAGAGACTTGAGCTTCAGTCTCAACTGGTGTCACAGGCCGGCAACACATTTACTGAAATAAAACGAGGTCGAGTTATGAGGAAGTTTATAATCTGATGGATTCTGTGGAAGTTTCCACAGATTTGGTTGAAACAAAGCTGTTGCTTTTAGTCCGGAGTACCTCGGAGCCAACGACCCGTAATTAGAAGAGCGGGACTTTTTTTTGTTGTTGTTCTGGAGAGAAGAATGTGGCTCCGACTCATGATGGTATTAGTGGCTTCATTTATGTGAACACGCAGAAAAACTAAACCTTTAACCAGCGTTCAACTTTATCTCATTGCAACTGATAGAGCGAGCGACGCAAAACTGCTCGAGCGTAGGAAACTGAAAGTGCACCCCGCTTCATTAAATGTTATGCGATAAAACCAAAAGGAAAGCGTTTGTCAACAAAAGAAAAATAGTTTTAGATCTTTTGTTTTTCCTAAATAAAAAAAAAAGAATAAAAGTGCAGCTGAATTTAAAAAAAAAACATTTTTCAAACTTAAAACTAAAAGAAGTTCAAGACGCATTTTACGCGTCACTCGTGTCAAATTGTTTTTTTTCCAACGTTAATTTCTACACAAAACTTAAAGGCGGTGATTTTGTGAATGCTCTAATTTAATAAATATAAAATATTTTAAACTGCAATACATTTGTCTTAATCGTTACAATTTTCACTTTAGCTGGAACTCGGTCAATATTCAGATACGGAGCGTGGTAGTAGCTGAGGGTGATCCACAGAGCGCCAACAGGTCAAGATCTTTAATTGCATGGAGGAATGAAAGCTGCGCTTCGTCGTCCTCTTCCAGACTGAAGGATTTCTTTGGTGCCTTCAGGTTTTTCTGGTCAAACTTGTAGCAGGCTGGAGCCTCGGCGCGCCGCACGACAGGCGTGTCCCTGCACGAGCGCCTCCCATCAGTTAAGGAGGGCGAACACCGAGCGTCGGAACGAAAGATCAGATTTATAACTACACACCGTTTCCCTCTTTTTATAAAAGAAACAAATGGACAGACAAGGTTTTAAAAAATATCTAATTTGCTCTATTCCATCAAAAACACATAACACATTATAGATTTTTATAAGCGCACAACGAGATCAGTACTTAAGCGACAAATGTAGATTTTGTTCAATAAAATACAATTATGCAAAACTGGAGGAAGGTTTAGTCCGCCTGGCTCTGACCCACTTCCTGTCGAGCTCGTGCGCTGCCATGAACAAACCATCGGTTGGTCAACGGAAGGGGAAACCTGCAACAGCTGTTGCACAAACAGCGCCGATGTCGTCACTTTCTGAAAACTGTAATAAAACGTCAACACTACAGCCACTGACGGCAGGCGCAGCTGCAACAAATTCACTTTTGGAGTTGACCCAAATCAAGATGGCCACCACAACTAATCCAAACGTGGTCGATTTCACAGGAAGAGGCAAGACTTGATGTGGCGACAGCCGAGATTCGTCCTCAGAACTTCACACGAGATCTCGTAAACTAGAACGAGATCAGTCATTTTACAACGTCGGCCCAAATGTATGGAACACCAAAATGCTCAAAATTAAATAAATTAAAAAAAACATTATGAAATAAATAAAAAAAAACACATTTTTATTATTTTATTTCATAACTGTGTTTTTCATGTTTATTTAATAATGCCACTTTTCAGCAGAACGACTTCAGCTGTCAATCAACGTCAGTGGGTTGGACCTTCACGCCCACTGGCTGATCCTTCACATCCATTGGTTTTACTGCTCACGGGTACAGCTAGCATAGCAGCTAGCATAGCAGCTAGCATCAAGAAGGATGGCAGAACTTCCTTCAGCTCAGGTAACTTTAGCAGATCAAATTGAGAGGATTACGTTCTCAGAAGATACAGGTGTCGTGAGAAAATTGATGGACTGGAAAAAAATTAACAAATCTATCAGCGCCGTGGGAGCGTGCACGGGAGGACTCTGTTTTAATTGTTTGACTTTAACCAGATTAACACCAGCTGTAGCAGTGAGCAGGAAAACGAATGGATGTGAAGGATCAGCCTGTGGGCGTGAAGGTCCAACCCACTGACGATGATTGACAGCTGAGGTTGTTCTGCTGAAAAGTGGCATTATGAAATAAATAAGCCGTTATGAAAAACAACTATGAAACAAAATATATATATTTTTTTAATTATTATTTCATAATGTTTAATTTATTTAATTTTGAGCATTTTGGTGTTCCATACAAACAGCTGTCATTTCTAAAAACTTCAAAAACTCTTATCTTTTTTTTTTATTTTACTTAGTGGAACAATTCTTTTTTTTTTTTTTTCCAGCAAGTTGCTTCTTTCTTTGGTTCACTAGAGACGAGGACAAAAAGTGCTCTTCCTGCTTGGAAAAGTCAAATTTTACAGGATTTAAAACCTGAAGTACGACGGAGCTTTAGGGCCACGCTAAAATTAAAAGCCATAAAATTAGGAGAATAAAGTCGAATAAAGTCTTAATACTACGAGAATTTTTCTTCTTTTTTTTTTGCAGCTCTCGTTTATGTTTTTCCACAAGTCGGATCCACGACGCAACCTGTCAATCAGTCAAGTAGGCGTGTCAACAAATGACTAATCCGAAGCTAAATGAGTCATAATATTATCCAAACTCCGACAAGATAAAGCAGGTTTACCACATTTTATCTGTGGTAAAATGAAGAATGTTGAGCATCTTGTTAAGTTATACTTTGGTATTGGTTTTACAAATAAGGAGATTAGTTAATCTGTGAGCACATCATCAGCATCAGGACTTTGGACCTGTTCACAGTCAGGTGGTAGCGCTGACGAGCTGCAGCGCAGCTCTGCAGGTGAGGAGCATTTGCTGACAGGTCGCGTTGTGGATTCAACATAAATAAAACGAGAGCTGTAAAAGAAAAAAAGTCTAATACGACTTTATTCTCATAATTTTATGGCTTTAATTTGTTTGTTTTTTCTTAGCGTGGCCCTAAAGCTCCGTCGTACTGAAGCGTGTGAACAAACTTTAAAACGTTTGGCACCAGCTCAGCCCGACAGATCATCATCACCGATTCTTACTTAAAACCCCCTAAAACTAACATTCGAGTCAGGATGATTTCTGCTGGTGATAAAATAGGTCACAGAATTGCAAAACCACAGACGCTTGAGTGACGTTCGTGTCAGCATATTTCTGGAGATTATAATCATCTTAATCAGACTTTCACTTACCGAGAAGCGTCTCAGAAGATTACGCTTTAATTTTAACAAACAAGTGTAAACACAGTTGATCTAAAAAGCTCCAAGTTTAAATTTAGAATCGCACAACCATTTCCGAGCCAGAATGTCGGCCCCGGTTCGGTCGTGATTGTGAAAAGGAAGCAACCGAACAGAACTGTTGAAGAAACTGTCCAAAGACGTCCAAACGTCTCCTCTTAACGGAGACATGTCAATGAAACCCGTGACGCTGGTTCCCGGACAAACCGACGGACAAGAACTGATAAGAAGGACACGTTCAAAACGTTATGAGCTTCAGATCTGAAAGAAACAGCTTTGACTTCTTCAGAAAACGGGCGAGTTAATCTAACTTGGGAAAAGGAAGAACAGTCTTGTGTTTCCCAAAACCTTTTAAACAAACGAGTCCCTGTTTCACCTCGGGTTAAGGGCGCCACATAAAACCGGACATCCCTTCAACAGCGAAGGTCACACGAGAAGCATTTAAAGAGCAGCGGTGAAAAAAAGTGTGGCGACAGTTTCAACAAAGTTGTGTCAGGGCCTCTGGACGGTTTCTGTGTATTGAAACGTTTTCCTCTTTCATCCAAAGGACTTCATCAGTCCAAGGAGCCACAGCAATTTCAGTCTTATAAATAGCACCTTCACAGAGTGGGTCAACCAGTTTGATGGTGCGCAGATGGTTCCTGGAGTCCGCCCTCTCCCCTGTCGACTCCTCTGAGGCAGCCATGACCAAAGTGGTTCAAAACATCGAAGTTCATGCTCAATAATCCAGGTCATAAATCCAACACAGTTAAGTCAGGCCCTCTGGACGGTTTATTTTTGTTGAAACGTTTCGTCTTTCATCCAAAAAACTTTTGTCATTGCATCAGTGAAGGTGCCATGTATTAGAGTTTGTTGTGGCTCCTTGGACTGATGAAGTCCTGTGGATGAAAGACGAAACTTTTCAACAACAACAACAAAAAAAAAAAAAACTATCCAGAGGTCCTGACTTAACTTGGTTGGATTGTTTTTCCAGGATTATTGAGCGTGAACTTTGAAGTTTCAAATATAATTAATTTAGTTTACTTACAGAGACAAAACCACATCTCCTGCACCACTTAGTGTTAAGATGGCCGCCACAGCCACTGGATTTAACAATGGCAATAAGTTTCCTCTGGTTTCAGATGCTGTGCAGCTGGAAGGATTTTTACTGAAACTTTTTTAGTTTTGGACATTTGTTACGATGCGTAACCATGGCAACAAGGCAGTTGTCTACAACCAACAGCAGCTGATTAACATCTCAAAAGCTCAAATAATATCTCAACTACAGCCTCAAATCTCAAATGAGTTGAAAGGATGTTCTGTGGATGCATTCTCATCTACCTGCCAGCTGTGCTCGAGTGCCTGACCACTGAGATCCTGGAACTAGCAGGAAACACGGCTCATGACAGTGGAAGGACAGGATCGTCCCTCGGCACCTACAGTTGGCTGTCCGCAGCGACGAGGAGCTCAGCAGACTGCTGGGAGGAGTGGCCATCGCTCTGGAAGGAGTTCTGCCCGGCATTCGGGCGGTCCTAGAGCCCGAGGGAACCGAGAGGCCAGTCCAGTCTGGGTGGACGGATCGGACAGCATCTGCAGTCAGTTTCTTGGGATCCACTGTGGGATGGACCTTTACAAGAGATCCTTCCCGCCTACAGCATCAGCATCTAAAACATCTCTTAATGAAATGATAACGAGTTACAACAACAAATAATTTCCCTTTGGGATTAATAAAGTATTTTTGAATTGAAGTCCGTCAGGGTTACAGATGTGTTCAGATTTGGTGCCTGAGCTGAGACCGAGTCCAAAACATCTCCGGGCGATAACAGAACGCACAGATCTAAGATGTTGGCACCAAATGTTACGAGTAAACTGTTAGCAAAAAATCTAATGAACAGACTGGACTGATTTCAATTAAACTTTCAGGAAATTTCATTGAGCGTGGACTAACGATTAAAGTCAATCCAATTCAAGATGGCCGCTACATTCAAGTGACTTTAGGATATAATTCAGTCAATTTGACCGATTCTGAGCCAGTATTTGGTGTGGTAGTAGATGAGAGTAATTCACAACAAATACCATATTTTCCAGAGTATAAGTTGCTCCAGAGTACTAGACGCATCAGTTAAAAGCATCATGAAGCATCACAAGTCACTTCGGCGTATAAGTTGCATTTATTATGCGTCACCACTGACTGTCGCGTTTATTTAATGGTCAAAACAGCTTCATTTCGCCTGGGCGGCGCAGCAACCAACCAACCATCCATCCATCGTGGCCAGAGCCACCAGCTCTCCAGCATTCCTCCGCCTGCACCAGCTGAGTGAAGCGAGCGCACACGGGAGGACACACTGTTGCAGTTCCTCGAAATTTAAAGCGTCAGTCAAAAATTCTGTTATGAGTAGGGATGCACGATATCGGAATTTTGGCCGATATGTTAAAACTTATTTGGCCGATAACCAATACCTATATTTTTTTCCACTAGACCTACTTACAGAGACTACATAGCTTTCTCTGCTGTGGAATTAAAACACTACATTATTCTGCACGTCTTTGTCCGTTTGGCCTGCTACCAAACGCAGACGCCAAAAGGGGGACTGAAAATGATGCAACACTAATAAGAAAAACAGCACCTTTTATATCGGTGAGTTATCTTGAGGGAATGGCCGATGCCTGATATTTCACTTTATCGCCAATATCGGCCGATAATATCGTGCATCCCTAGTTATGAATATGGAAAAAAACAAAACGTACGCGAGTTGCTTTGGCGTATAAGTCTCAGGACTGACAAATCTATGTAAAAAAAACTGCGACTTATACACTGGAAGATACGGTACCTCTGAGGCTGATGTCTTCCAGAATGAAATGAGATTGTTTAAGATTTGACCAAAACGGGAAGGGGTTTGTCATTTCTTTAAAAAAATAAAAAAAAAAATGTTATAATGTAAAACTGATACGCCTTGCTTTAAGGAATGTTGGAGCTTTAGTTCCCATGAAGACCAGCAAGTCCTCGTGCTGTGGGAGTGGACCACATGTCTGCGTGTGTCAGGAGCAACAGCAAACAAACCATTTGTCACGAAGTAAGGTCCCACCCTGGCAGCAGTTCAAGACAAGTCAGACATGCAGAAACCTCTGGACCTTAGAGGACCTCCAAAATCCTGCCATGTCAAACACCACGTGAGGAATCATGAGCAGCAGGTTGGAATCCAGTGTCCACGCGAAAACCTCGAATCAATTAACTGGAACAGATGGTCACGTGACCTCGCTGGCATCTTTAATTATCACTTTTCCCTCTTTTTAAAAAAAAATAAATAAATAAAATAAAAACGAAGCCCACTAATATTGCGTAAATCCGTGTTAAAGCGTCATTCGACAACTGGTATTAAAATTGCCAACTCCAGCAGAAGAAACGAGCGTTTAACTTTTTCAACCGGGTGTTTTTTTTTTTATTTTTTTAAGCAACTTTAAAACCGTGATGAAGATGAAGCAGGTGGAGAAATGCCAAGAGTTTCAGAGAGTTTCAACAGGCAGAAGAAGCCAGAAGTTCCCTCAGCCTCGCTAACAGATGCTACGACACATTTCCTGAAAACAAAGTTGTACTCACGAGGCGCCGCCGCTGCGTCCTGCACGTTCACAAATAAATGCTTCAAATGTCCGCTCAGCAGTGACGGGAAAGTGAGTAAATCAACGCTTTACTTTCTCCGTCGGCCCATCAGTTGACACGAGCAGCCTCATTTACGCGGAGGAGCGCCACCTTAACTTTCCGAGTGCTCGTCGTCTCCTCCCGTTGAGAAACAGCTCCTCCCCACCGAGCAGATGGTGGCGAGCTGCGCACCATTTGTGCACCAGCCTGACAAAGTGGCTCGACCAGGTAGGCGGAGTCTACGTCCTGTTTAGAGCTGCGTATAAACGCGTCGTCACTACCAGCTGAGTCATAGTCCGGCTGACTAAAAAGGAACGTATCATGTCAACCGACCGCTGCATTAACCAGTTATCCATCTGATCTTGTTTCTTTATAAGTTGCATATCCATAAAAGTAAAATAATGCACAGGGAACCGTTTTTTGACCTCTTTGTAACTGTATCTTGACTCAATCTCAGACTCAAATAAAAAAAAGGATATAAAAACAAAAATATCTAATGAATACAATTTAACTTTGTAACTCACATTTATTTATTTCATTATTTTTTACGTTTTCTCTTCTTTCTTTGATATGTTCAATATTCTTTATTGTGTATTTTTTTTGAGACTGTTGTAATTGAAGTGAAGTTCTAAATAAAGATTGGAAAAAAACAACATAAACCAGAGCACTGAACTGCACTAAACTGGTCGTCCATAATTTAAGATTTTATTTGAAAGAGTTGGTCGCACGTTAAATATATTACATAACCACAAATATAAAATTAAGCTGCAAGAGGAACAAATATTAGCAAAATTGTGCAAAATTATTAACTCGTCCTTCATTTTTTAATGTTTTAAATTGTAGATTTTAATGTAGTCTTGGTCAATAGTAATAGATTTTGTTGTTCAATTACAATATTTTCATTACAGATTCATTTTTACCAAATTTGCAGCAATGATAAGCAATTAAATTCCAAACTTCAGCCCAGAAGCTGGGAGAAATTTTTGATTATCATTTTGTAATTAACGTTATGGGTTTGCCCGACGTGTAAATGTTCACATTTCTGGGTCAGCAACAGACAAATTGGAGAACCTGCAAAATATTTGGGAACGTTGTTGGATGACGGACGTAATGATGATCCCCGAGGGGAAAACGTTTGGAATGGCAGTATATAATGAAAACTTGAGGTCGTGTTTTGATTTGGTTTGCCAGTAGCCAACACCATTTATTCATGCACCAAATTACGTACTACAGTGTTCAGAGCCAAGGACTTGGACAAAAGTGAGATTTGGTAATTTCCATTCTCTACTAGACTAATAGATGCTTAAATGAATCAGAGCAGTAATTCAGGATACTGATTAATCAATAATAATTTAGTTTCACAATCAGGCAGAGCAAACCACAGAAGGCCAAATGTATCTGTGCCGGTCTCGTCATTTGTTTGGCCTTCGATCCAGGACGGTCCTGTGTTCCGTCTGTGAACCGATTCAATCTGTTCCTTCTTGTTTCTTTGGCGCATCCTGATTTTGTTGTCCTAAATTCTTCACCGACTGATCAAAATAGGGTTTGTAGATGTAAAAGCCACCAGCAATGCCGAGCACTGTGGCACAGGCCATCTGTGGGAACGTCAGTCTTCCTCGAAACATGACTTCTTTCGTTGAAGAACCCAAATCTACAGACTCCAAATGATCCTGAAAGCACAAAATAAGCATCGAGCTTTACAACTTATAGGCAATACCTTTCCATTTCTACTATATTAAATTTATCAAGCTTTTGTAGAAGTTTTACGCATAAACGTAATGACTTTATATGTAAACTATGATTTATTGATGAACACAGCTCATCTATGCATAAAAAAATAAAATTAAGAGAAAGGAAAAAAGGATCTATCGGTAGTACCCTGAACCAGGTCCCCCTGCCCCCCCAATATTAGTTTAAAAAAATAATACTAATCAGATACGTCTTAATGTCAAAACGGGCATTATTAAAAATGAAAGAGTTTCACTGCTTGGTTAACTGAAGTAATCATCAGTCTAGTTTAGGTTAAAAATTCATTCACAAAAAAAAGGTGTGATAAACTGTTTTAACTAGATTACAGAAAAACTGGTTGTCAATCTTGGAAAGAAACAAAAATATTCTGAATAAGCACCGTTAAAAGAGTAAGCATTGTATACAGTAGTAACAAAAATGGTTAAATCGTGTCATCAGGACCAGTTTCTTAAAAGTGACAAACACATCCAGAGTACTTCCTCAGGAAGTAAATATACTGCTGTATATTATAATATAGTATAATATTATAACATGGCTGTAATAATAATAATGTGCAATTTACAATTGAATATCGTCTTATTTTTAAAGGTCCAAACCGGATATAGAAACATGACAAACTAACTTCCGGACAATTTTATGAAACATTGATCGTTAAAGGCATCGTGGCGACTTCAGTTTACGCTTTACAACATTTATAACTCACCCAAGCAGAGACTTATCGTGTCTGTGATGCGTCTGTAATCACTTCAAACTGAAGGACAAACAAAAGAAGAAATAAAGAGAAAAATACTTGGACCGCAGGTCACTTATGGAGGAGAGGAGCAATTCTTCTTCTGCTTTGAGAAATGTGTCAGAGGAGCAGCGGCAAACAGCTGCACAGCGCCCCCAGTGGCGAGGAGCAGCATGACACGTTTTCATTTTTGTTTAAAAAAAAAAAAATCAAATCAACAGTGGTGGAAAGTACTCGATTCTAGTACTTAAGGAAAAGTATTTATACTCATGGTCAAACCTTACTCAATTACTGTCTAAATAAAGGTTGAATGAATTACAAATAAAAGTTGCTCAGTCAAAAATCTACTCAAGTTAAAATACTGAAGTACTTACTTTTGAAAATAAGTATTCAAAAGTACATACATTAAAAAAATGCTCAAGTATTCAAAAGTACAAATTATATTTTCTAACATCAGTACATTGCTTTATTGTTTTGAGTGATTTTACAGAACCTTGTAACTCTGAAATTACCTCATGTATTGACATGAACCACTAACATTAATAAAACCTGTACGCTACAAATAATGTCTTCCCTGCATTTTACATGTTTATGGAAAGTCATGGAAATCCTAACAGATGATGCACAACTAGTCTTTGCCTCAGCTTCAGTATTAATACACCACATACTGTCTGTAAAAGTACATGTATTGACAGCAACAACTTCACACAGGAGAGGAAACAGTAACACTGATAACTGAAAGTACTGCCATACTTTACATAGAAGTTTACAAAACAATGAATGTTCTGCATAATCCTTCCTAGAAATGTAGTGGAGTCCAAAGTACAATATTTTTCTTTGAAATGTAGTGAAGTGAACGTCATAAGTTCCCAAAAACACAAATACTCAAGTAAAGATACTCGGAAAATGTATTTAAGTACAGTCCTCAAGTAAATATACTTCGTTACTGTCCACCACTGCAAATCAATGAAAACTTTGAACTTAAGAAAATCGTTTATACGTTTTTGAGTTGGATTATTCTGCAGCACAACACAACAGAAGTCGAGAAGAAGTAATAACAAAAAAAGCAAATAAAATTTTAAATGACCAAAATAAAAACATGATAATAAGATAAGATGAAATTTTATTAATCCACAAGAAATTGTTGTGTCAAGTTTCAGTACAAATTAACATAAACAAGGAATCACACAAGATATATTAAAAAAACAACAACAGAGAATATAAAAAAATAACAGAGAATATAAAAATACCAACAGTTAAGGTGTAAAACAGGTCAGGTGCAGACAGAAACATTAACGTGTTTATTGTGGTGCATCTTTTATTGTTCTATGTGTAGAAAGGGGAAGGAGTTGAAAAGTTTGATAGCCACAGGGAGGAAGGACTTCCTGTGGCGTTCTGTGGAGAACCTTGGTGGTCCTCGTGGGGTTTACCCATTGGTAAACTTGGTTTTACCAATTTACCTTTAAAACTGGTTTTACCAATTTACCTTGGTAAATGGGGCCCGTCTACGACTGATGCTGTGGTAAGAGTCCAGGGTGTCATGCAGGGGGTGTGACGTGTTGTTCAGGATCTGGAGCAGGTTCCTCAGCATCCTCTGCTCAGACAGTCTGTCAGAGACGGCAGCTCCACTCCCAGAACTGAACCAGCTCTCTTCCTCAGATTATCGAGTCTGTTGGCATCAGCTGCTTCACCCTGCTGCTCCAGCACACCACAGCATAGAAGAAGATGCTGGAGACCATCAAGTGGTAAAACATCTGCAGCATGGTCCTGCAGACGTTAAAGGAACCGAGTCTCCTCAGAAGAAAAAGGTGACTCTGCCCATTCTAGTAGAGAGTTGATGTCCAGTCCAGTTTATTGTCTAGGTGGCCCCCAGATACTTGTAGCAGGTAATGGGTATTATTACAACCTTTAAGTAAAGCTTAGAATAATTTGTGCTTTAAATAATTATTTAAAATATTTGCCTTAGGTGTTTTATTGTGACCAATAAGTGAACTTTGTGATAAAAATAAGAAAACCTTCGCCATCTTGTTGCTTTTTTGAGCTAACATACATTTTTAGAAAGAACTTCTGGTTTTGTTTTAAAATATATTCTATTGGATTTACCTTTTAGAACAAAATTCTGCAGGAAAATGGTCGTTTGATCATAAATAATTAATGCATACAAACCTTTATTTATATTAGTCTCATTGAGTCACAAGGACTCATTTTCAAGAGAAACCTGTTCTAGACAAACCACAGATAAGATACAAACAACAATAAACAGTAATATAAAAAAATTAAATCAAGCTACACTGGTTCATTCACCAGGGGCCAACCAGGTCCCTTCAGGTTTACTTGGTTGGTATTCACACGAGTACTCTCGAAGTATGCGAGCGGTATTATTATACTTATTTGTATTATTTTATTTAATAACCTTTATTTAACCAGGCAAATCCCACTGAGATCACAGATCTCTTTTGCAAGGGGGGCCTGGGCCTGAAGGGAGACTAACATGCATGTTTGTTCTGTGGAAGGAAACAGGAGTACCCGGAGACAACCCTTAACAAAAGTAGTACATTTGAAGTTTATTTTTGCAAGTATACTTTAAGTTAAGTGTATACTACACACCATACTTGCAGTGTACTAGAAGTATACTGATTTAATACTTGTTAGGGACATTTTTATACTAGTTTTAAGTAAATCAAATAAAGTTTATAAAAAGTAAACTTCAAGTACACTTCCTCATTTTTAGTGTAAAATAAGTATACTTAAATAAACTACTTTGTGCCAAGGGAAACACGGGAAGAACATGCAAACTCCACACAGAAAGACCCCAGGTCCAACCGGGGATTGAACGCAGGACCTTCTTGCTGTGAGGCAACAGCGCTAACCACTGATTCACCGTGCTGAAACTATTATATTATTATTATGGCATTAAATAGAGGTAAAAATACATCTTTGCTAATTTACCAACCAAAAACTAAAAACAAGCTAAAAATAAATAGGCAGGGGGGAAAAGCTTTTATTCTGAAGTTGCGTGAAAACAACGTACCGGAAGTGAGTTTAAAAGACGGAAACGTTTTCCGTTTCTCTGAATTAAACGGTGGAAGTTCAGGTTTTAAAGCTAAACACAGGCACCTTGAAGGAACGGCATCTTTAAATTTTAGTCAAAATGTGTTTTTTAAAGCCCGTTTTGTTTTTTGAGTCTCTTTAAGGAGACATAGCTCACCTGAGTCACGTCCTGACAGGTGAATGATGTCCGCAGATGGAGAACCTGAGAGCTCGGCTAAAGTTTGGAAACAAAGACGAGGTTGTGAAACTGAGGAGACGGAAATCTCAGCTGTACTCCAAGGAAGACAAAAGCCTTCTTAACGGTGCGACCACGACAGATGGTTATTAAAGCTGTTATTACCTGAATGTGTGTGCAGGTGCTACAGTGATTTGTTACCTGCACAGGTGCGCTGGGCCTTGTTGCGTTCAGGCTGATCAACTGCTTCCTGGTCCAGACCAGCTTCGTCCCTGATGAGTACTGGCAGGCCCTGGAGGTGGCCCATCACATGGTCTTCAAATATCCTTTGATTATTAATAATAGCCATTTTATTTAAATATTTACAGACCGATTTTACATGTTGGGTCAAAGGTTCATAACTGTAAGTTTTATTTAAACTTAAAGTGGTTTAACGCTGCAAAAACTTTTAATGATGTAAGTATTTATGGTTCTTTTGTACCAATGGTTTAATTTAAAGCTATAAAAAAAATTATAACCTCAGTTCCCACTTAAGTCGAGCAGATTTATTTAGAGAAATAAAATTTAAAAAAGCGTTGACAGTAATATTTTGCTGTCTTGTTAAAGAAGCATACAGACGAAACAAATACAAACGTTAACAAAAGATTACAAGAATAACAAAACCTCCATAGAAACATGAATATCGAGCAATGAGCGTAAGTTTTTAAATAGGTTTTGTGTTATTTATCGTCACGTTATTTATTTTATTTGAGCGTTTGCCTTCCGTTGGGTTCAGACCAGCTCGTGATGTTTCCAAACACCTGAAGACATTTGCTCAATTTAAAGCAAAGAACATGGCAGTCCGCCATTATCAAGAACAAGAGCGGGACAGTCTTCACAGCAGATTATTAAATATCACCTAATTTTTATTATAGTGGCACCCCTTGATCACTGAGCGTTGGTTCACTCTGGTTATCCCTAAAATTGTTTCATTTGGACGATTATTCCAAGAAGTTACAGTTTTTGCATAAAATGATTATTCTTCATCTTAAAAACACCATTTAATCCTTCCTAATGATCTAGATTGTCGTTATTTATGCGTTTCTTTCAGATTTAACAGCCTTAACACACAGACCTATGGGAATCTGACCTGGGAGTGGAAAGCAGGACTAAGAGGATTCACGTACCCTCTCTTCTTTGCATTCCTCTACAAGATACTACATCTGTTGAACTACGACTCGGTCCATCTCCTGGCAAGTTGTTTTGTCTTATTTGACACTAACTGACGTATATTTTTAGTTGACGGAGTTGACGTCTCTCTGCAGATTTGGCTTCCGCGAGTCGCTCAAGCCGTCCTGGCTGCGTTTGCTGATGTCAAATTCTTCCTCCTCTTCAGAACAATAGAAACTCACGATGTTGCGAGATGGACGGTAGAAAACTTTGTCCTCCGACTCTAATCTGTCACAACTTTAGCGCTCTAATCTTTATTTATCGTCGTTCTGATATTGTAAATCAGATTTGTAAAGCTCCGTTTTGATTATTCTGCGTTTTGCTGCTTTGAATCCACTTTTCTCCATCTTGTTGTGACCCGCAGTTCTTCTGTCACCTGTGCTCCTGGTTTTCGTGGTTCTGCTGCACCAGGACGCTGACCAACAGCACAGAGACCATCCTCACCTGTCTGGCTCTTTATTACTTTCCTCTGCCGGGGTCCAAAACACACAGCAGGTGTCCGCTCGTTTACACCCTCGCCTGCCTCGGTTTTATCGCCGCTGGTCTCTGGGATTTACGCAGATGTTGTTTGTGTTTCTCCTCCAGTAAGAAGTACTTGTCCCTGGTGGCCTTGGCTGTGATAGTTCGACCCACGGCCCTGATTGTCTGGTTCCCTCTGCTGATCTACCATTTCTGTCAGGAGGAACACAAACTGAGACTCGTCACTCATAACTACGTTCCCATCGGGTTCGTACTCCTCGACACGCTTGTTGCCGAGTCAGCAGTTAGTTTTCTGTTCCTCCTCTCTTCAGTACGTTTTTTTTTTGTACGCAAAATACATTTGTGTAGTTTGTTCCGACTTTTGTTTCTTGTAACTTTTTAAAATTTCAATAGAAATACTGAATCTTTTTACTTTTGCTCTATTTTTTTATGCTACTTTTAGCTGCAGCTTAGCAAATCTTTGCATCTTTTACAAATTTCAGCTTTAGTTTCCGTTTTGCTCGTTTTAGCTTCTGTTCTACTGTTTTTAGCTTCTAGCTCGAGTTCTTCGCATTTTAGCTTTTGGTTTTAACAATTGTGACCTGTGCATTTAGACACAGTAAAGAAATTTTAATATTGAGTTAATATTTTCAAATTATTCATCTCAGAAACTTGAAAATAATCCAGTTTGTTGAAATCTGGTAATTTACCCCGGCAACAAACTAATTTAGTTTACGAGAGTGCCGGTTTGAAAACTACATTTCTGTTAGTCTGAAGTGATGTCAGCGGGAATTGTAGCCGTATTTTTAAAAGGGGGCTCCCCGAGCTTCGCAATAAAGCCAAATATTATACGAAGGGATTTCCCAAGTGTATGGCAGCCGACAAGAGAAATATGGTGTTTCAAAGGAAATTATTTCTCAAGACACCTGTTAGAGAACCTGGATTTAAAGGTAGATATTTTGTGATTTTTATTTTATTTTATTGATTTTATATGTACAGCACTTTGTGGCAGCTGTGGTTGTTTTAAAGGGCTTTATGAATAAAGTATTTTTATTATTATTATGAACATATGCTGTTTTAGTTCCCAGGACTGTTCGATCGTGTCTTTATAGATTTTTATTACACAAATCAGTATTCTTCGTCAGTCTGTGCTCATCCAGACTCATTTTGCTCGCACCGATCACAATTCAGTTTTAACTTCAACAAATTTCAGCAAAGTCTTTTTAGCGCTCGGTCATCAGTTTCTCCAGTTTTCCTTCCCAGCTTTATGATTTGATTGTGTTATTTTGTTACCAGGACGCTGGCAGTTGTGATTTCCGCTCTGATCGACTGTCTGTTCTACGAAAAGGTAAAGCACATCAGATTCACGAGCGCCGGCGTTTGAAGTCAGATTTAATGACCGACCTCTCTGCTCCAGTGGACGCTGGTTCAGTTCAACTTCCTGAAGTTCAACGTCCTCCACGGGGTGGCAGAGTTCTACGGCTCCCACCCCTGGCACTGGTACTTCACTCAAGGGTTCCCCGTCGTGATCGGGCCCCATCTTCCGCTCTTTCTTCACGGGTGCACCCTCGCCTTCAGAAAGTACAAAATCCTGCTGGGAGCTGTTGTGTGGACCCTTGTGGTGTACAGGTAAGACAGTTAATTCATAATTAGTGGCGTTTTCAGTTAAAAAAAAACAAAAAAAAAGGCTTAGTTCCGCTCTACGGTTAAAAATGTGAACATTTTAATATCTGCAGTAAATTAATTTTACTTTTCCGTTCAGTTTTCTTCCTCACAAGGAGTTCAGGTTCATCTATCCCGTCCTGCCTTTCTGCATGGTCTTCTGTGGTAGGTGTGAACTTTTCCTTCCAGACTCGCCGTGTCTGCTCACGTTTTCACGTCAGACGTCCGTCTCGTCGCAGGGACGTCGCTGGCTCACATGAAAGCGTGGCGTCGAGCCGCCGCCGCCAGCCTGGTGGCGTCCAACTTGGTTCTGGCTCTGTACACCGGCCTGGTTCACCAGCGGGGCGTCCTGGATGCGATGGGCCACGTCCGGGCTCTTTGCGACGTCAGCAGGAACTCGTCCGTCCCACAGCCAGACGTCCTCTTCCTCATGCCCTGCCACTCAACGCCCTTCTACAGGTACGACGGACTCCGAGGCGCAACGAGCCGCGCTCCAGAGGGGTTTTGTCGCCGACTCGGTCTTCAAACTATCGTGTTCCCGCGTCGCTATTTTTCTGTACAAGTTTTGCATTTTAACCACTTCGTTCAAAATATTTAGTTTCATTAACAAATTAATTTTTTCCTCAAATTCTTTACTCCGAAATCTTTTTTAATTCCTACGAAAACATCATCTTTGAAATCTGCTTATGCCACTTAATTATGCAGCAAACTTCTGATGGGGGGGGGGGGTCGTGCTGGGTTAAACTCGGGGAATCTGTCCGACGCGTTTCCAAACGGACTCCAGCTCACTCCTTTATGAAATGATCACTTTATTCCCCGTCACATTTCCATGCTTTAAACTTTACACACACTGACCAGGTCCAAAACGATCGATGCTTGGCATAACTCGCTACGGCGTCTTCCAACACGGTCAACAGAAACTGTGACGACTCCGGGCGCACCAAACTTCCTCATGCAATCAAAGCCCGAACGCCAGTAAAGACCACATTTTGTATCTGGCGACAGTCACGCACACATCGACACACCCACCACCCAGGTGTCAAAGCTGCGTGCTCACCGTCACGTCATCGATTGCTTATTTCTCTCATATGGCTCTTACTCTACATTTAGCTAACCTTTAGCTGCCATTCTGCCACTTTTAGCTTTAAGCTACTATTTTGATGCTTCTAAATTCCAGACAAGCTTTTGTTGCTTTAGCTTTTAGCTAGCATTTTGCTTTTTTTTATAGCTTGAACACCTGACTTCAGCAAACTTCAGCTCAGCTCAATAAATTTCTTTAGCTCAGTGTGATTCAGCGGTTCACTGGATGTTTGGTATTTTCAGCAGCATTGAAAGTTTAATATCGTCGACAAGAAACAAAAATAAACTCGTCGCTTTATGTTTTGGTACTTGTTCCTTCAGCTCGTGCTGAAGACAGAAATGTTTCACTTTCATTCAGTGCGTCAGATCAAGACCAAAAAGACACAAATTTACTAAAATTATTAAAAAATATGTGGTATTTGCCAACTCTTGATTTACTGTAAAATGTGTGCAGCCACGTGCACTGCCCTCTACAGATGAGGTTCCTGGAGTGTCCTCCAGACCTGGGAGACCAGGGTTACTTTGACGAGGCCGACCGGTTCTACGACGACCCTCTTCTCTGGCTCAGGACGTCGTTCCCGTACAAATCCTCCCTCCCAACACACCTGGTTCTGTTCGACATTTTGGAAAAGGTAGCGCTGATAAAATATTTGCACAGATTTGTTAAAAATATTGAATTTTAAAATGGAACAATTTTACATTTTTTTTGCAGGAAATCTCCACGTTTTTGCAGGGAAACGGTTTTAAAAGGACCGCAGCGATGTTCCACACTCACGTTCCGGAGGGACGAGTCGGAGGACGCATCTTTATTTATGAAAGGCACTGACAGACGCAGGAGCAACAGTAAACATTCCTCTCCAAAAAAAAAAAAACACGTAATGCAATATTAATTTGCAACACAAATAAATATTTTTGATTCAGATGTTAACATTTTTTAAATTAATAGCATTTCTTTAAAATGGCTGTTTTTGTCCCACTTTTCCTTCCAGGACATGAAAATAAAAATAAAAACGATCACGTCCAGTTTTTAAAATCTCAGGGTGGAACGTTAGAAAACATCTGAACTCTGAAAACTGATTAAAACTAAACCGACCGTATAAAAACACACAGCATGAAATGTGGCATCTGGTATTTTGTTTACCGTAGCCCAAAACGTCAAGTGAAGGTTTTCAGTTTTCCTCTCGACGTCTGGTCTTTCTGTGCATTTCAAACTACCGGTAAATAAAAGTGGCTGTGGGTAGGAGCTTCTCCAAAAGTTCAAGCTCCTCTTTCGCTTCATAAAGAACTGGATTTCTAAACACAGAACAGATATTCAGTAGCATTCGACAGACCGTGCAAACTTACAAAAAAAAAAGATTTTGGCAGCTTAATAAAAATACAAGATGAGCCTAAAAACAACGTTCATCTCTGATTTCTTTAGTATTTGGGGTCAAAGGGCATCGGGCCCAGCTCTATCTTGACGTCAGCCATATGTTGATCGGCGTTTCTTCCTGATCGGCTCCACTTTCGATCGCCGCACGGTCGAGCTCTTCCTCGCTGATGCTTCCGCTGGTGCTTCGCCCTCGACTCCTCCGAAGAGTCGGGTCTTTGGAACGGGCTGCTGAGGGACAGCAACACTAAATAAACCAACCTCAAAACAGTCTTAAGTAACAAACTACCAAAACAAAAATAAACCCAATAATATAGAACTTTAACAGTTGTTTTGCATCACTTGACAAATCTCTGAAATGTATATACAGACTCTAACAAAGTCAGGTCCTCTGGATGGATTCTTCTTGAAATGTTTCATCTTTTATCCAAAAGACTTCTTCAGTCTGAGGAGCTGCAACAAACTCAGTCTTATAAATAACACCTTCTCATGGTGGATCAACCAGTTTGTTGTTGACATCCAGAACTAGCTGTTCACACGCTAAAGGAGGATCAGCCTACCAAGTGGCCGTTAGTGTCCTGATGGTCGCTTGTTATTCACAGAAGGCTGAGGTTGGATTAGGCCTGTCGCGATAAACAATAAATCAATTAATCGCATGATAAATGAAAATGATCAACCTCATTTTCATTTATCGGCTTTATCGTTTCTTCACGTCTCTCTCTGAAGACACTGGATGACAAAAGGCTCAACTCCGGTGTTCTTCACTGACCCCTCCCTTTCTCTTTGAAATCTGTTTTAATCGTCCAAAATCACGTTTTTTTGATCGTTAAAAGCAGCTAAGCTACGAGCTAAGCTAACAGGTCGACCTCGGGATAAAACCTCCGTCTTGTCAAAGCTCCAAAATTCACAGTTGAAACCTGTGCCTTCATGTAAAAAGTTGTTTTTCTCTGCAAAAAGAAGCTGAGAACTTGTTTACTGATTTTTTAAATTAAAAGCTTTGTGTGATAAATGCTATGATAAAGAGCTCAAACCACTCCTGAGCGTCCACCAATTTGAGAACCGGAAAAAGGAAGGAGACAGCCCATGTCATGTCAAGGGGCCTCCCTCCCATTTTTCTTAAAGAGACACTGCTTGCTCCCTCACTATCCATCCAAACTGGAACAACCTGCCCCCCAACATCAGGCAAGCCACCTCCCTTCCTCACTTCAAATCCCTGCTTAAAACACATCTGTTCTCTCAGGCATTTCATACACTGTAAATTGATCTGGTGTTTTTTAATCTGTGACCCTATGTTTTAAATGCTTTTTATTAATTCTTCAGTTATTATTAGTGTATTCTATATATATGTTTATATATTTTTCTCTTTAATTTACTCATTGATTGTTGTTGTTAAGCACTTTGATAACAGGTTCCGTTTTAAATGTGCTCTATAAATAAAGTTGACTTGACTTTGGTTCAAACAGTCTTATACTGCCATCCGGTGGTCGAAAAAAGGTACTACACTCAAAACAAATTAAAACAACATTTCTTTTTAAATTTTACAATAATTACTAATTGTCAAATTTCAAACAATATTATAGTTTATCGCAATAATTTCTGAGACAATCAGCAAAATTTATCGTGACGGGCCTAAATTGAACACGGAGGCCTCCGCCCCGTTTAATGATGGACGGGTTCTTTTCACAAAGATGGCTTCCTTCAATCCTCTCAAACCATCGCTCCTCTGAAGGACGTGAACAACCTCATCCCTGAAAGAGTGACCACTGGCCCTGCAGATGACTCGCTCGGTCTACACTGGAAAAAAAAAAAGGATGTCACCAGCAAACTGGTTGATCCACTATGAGCAGGTTCTATTTATAAGACTGAGTTTGTTGCAGCTCCTCAGACTGAGGAAGTCTTTTGGATAAAAGACGAAACGTTTCAACAAGAAGAATCCGTCCGGAGGACCTGACTCCGTTAGAAGGATCCAGTTCGTTTATGAACAGATCTGAACATCTGAAAGTTTAACTTGATTATAAAGAACCAATTCACAACAAAAGTCACCTCGGAGTGTTTTACAGACCAAGTTAAATTTAATTTTGAGGAATCGAAGTCGACCCGTTCATGGTTTAGTTTCCTGATTCTCCTGTTTATAAATAAGTAAAAGTTAAGCCGGTGATTCCTCAAAAGTACACGTCTGTAAATGCCGTAGGAGCTCAGCTACACGTTTGGAAACGCGTCGTTGATATAAACCTGCAGGACACTCACCGCGGGCCGGGACTTTTAGCGTAGGTTTCTCCGAAGAAGTGCCTGTAGATGTAGTCGTCGAGACCTCCAAACATGTCGCCGTTGAGGCCGCGATACTCGTGCATGTCGGACAGATACTCTTCAACTCCGCTTACGAAGTCGGTGAACAGCATGCGGTCATGGACGAACACTCCGTTGTGGAAGAAGTTGCCGACGAACATCTCCAGCTCCTTCCAGTGGTAGAAGTGCTCCACCTCCTGCTGCAGGTAGCTCTGCAGCAGCTGGTAGAACTCGTCAGCTCTGATCGGCTCCATGGCCGTGTTGAAGAGGCTCATGGACTCCTGGTAGGCGCAGTCGAACACCCCGGTGCATCCTTTCATGCCGGCTCTGTGGTGTCCTCGATGTTCGTGAACCCTCCCGCCTGATTTGCGCGTGTTGTGGTCGCTCTGGAAGCCGTCGGGTTCGTGTCTGTGGTGGGGCTGGTGCTGCCACGACTCTTCAGAGTTCTTTCTGTCGCGTCCCCTGCTGTAAAAACTCTGAGCTTTGTTGATGAAGGTCGAGGCAGAATCTTTAAAGTGTCGAAACGTTGATTTGACAGAATCTGAAAACTTCCTCAGGTTCTCCTTCACGGCCTCTTTGGCTTTCTTTATCTGCTCCTTGTGGTGGTGGACGAACTCTCTGGTGGAGTTTCTCACGGCGTCAAACGTCTCTTTGACTTTCCCCGTCACGCCGTCTTTTGCTTTTTTCACTTTGGACTCTTGGTCCCCTTTGGCTTTTTCGTGTTTGGTTTCTACGTACAGCCTCTCCCACAGGTCCGAGCGCTGCTGCTCGTAGCTCAGCCTCTTCTGCAGCTCCGTCAGATGCTCCTGCAGATCCTCCGAGCCGCTTTCTTTTCCAGATGCAGCGGCACGACTTCTCAGGAGAGTCAGCTCCTTCCTCAGATCGTCTGCGACCTTCCTTTCTGTGTCGAGCTCGTTTCTCAGCGTCCGTGCTTCAGCTGCCGTGTCTTCCCTCTGAGCGTGGACGTCTCTGATCAGCTGCAGCTGGTCCTTCAGCCTCTGGTTTTCAGACAGCAGCGAGTCCGTTCCGGCTCCCATCGCCTCCAGATCCCTGATCTTTGAGCGCAGGTTCCTCAGCTCCTCCTGTAAGATGGACAAGGACTTCTCCTCTTGCTCCAGGGAGCTTTTCAGCAGCAGGTTTTCATCTTGTAGACGCTGATGCTGGGACATGATGTTGGTCCTCTCCTCAATCGTCTGTCTCAGCAACATTTTCAGGTCATCTCTCTGGGCCTTTATGAGAAAAATGATATTTAAGATGCCTCACATTGTTCAGAATCAGGACAAAACATTCTGCTTCAGTGACGGTAACACGTCTGTCCATGAACGTCTCCGTCTGTCGTTCACGTTACCTGGATGTGGTCTTGTTTTTCGCTGAGCTCCTGGTTTTCGTTCTTTATCGTCTCAATCAGTTCTGTAAGCAGCAAAATGGCTTGTTGTTCGTCCAGATCGTCTTGACCAACGTTGATCCTCTGCGTTAACAGATCGAACAAAATGTTAAGTGAAGAAACGTTCAGGAGTTTTAGGACTGGATATTAGCTATTATGAATAAAATGTAAACTCGGGTCTAGACCTGTCACGATAACAAATTTTGCTGGGCGATTAATTGTCTCAGAAATTATTGCGACAAACGATAATATTGTTTGAAATTTGACTAATTGTCAAATTTAAGAAGAAATGTTGGTTAATTTTTGTGTGTAGTATCTTTTTTTTGCCCACTGGATGGCAGTATAAGACTGAACTAAAGGATGGATAGTGAGGGAGCGAGTAGCGTGTCTAAGAAAAATGGGAGGGAGGCTCCTTGATGTGACGTGGGCTGTTTTTCTGTTCTCAAAATGGCGGACGCTCCGTGTGGTTTGAGCTCTTTATCATAACATTTTCACACAAAGCTTTTAATAAAACAGTAAAAAAGTTCTCAGCTTCTTTTTGCAAAGGAAAACAACTTTTTAGACGAAGGCACGGGTTTCAACCGTGAATTTTGGAGTTTCGACAAGACGGAGTTTTTTTCTCCTGGAGATCGGCCTGTTAGCTTAGCTCGTAGCTTAGCTTCTCAGCTTAGCTGCTTTTAACGATCCAAAAACGCGATTTTGGACGATTAAAACTGATTTTAAAGACAAGAGAAAGGGAGGGGTCAGTGACGAGCACCGGAGTTGAACTTTTTGTCATCCAGTGTCTTCAGTAGAAAGTGAAACACGAAGAAACAATAAAGCCGATAAATGAAAATGAGATTGATAATTTTCATTTATCGTGCGATTAATTGATTTGTTTATTGCGACAGGCCTACTCAGTCTTCAGTTTTGTAGTAAAATAGATGATCTGATAATTGAAAGTCAATGCTGGTCCTAAAAGTTCTGGTTTTAGTTTTGCGAGGAGAAATTTAGATTTTAAACAAATTTTTCCTGGTAAACTTCTACAAACAGATGACAGTGATTTGTAGCTAAAAATTACATTTTAAATTAAAACTAAATTGATGTCATAATGAAAATATAATTTCTAAATACAAACAGCAGTTTGGTATTTCTAGAGAGGAGCCAGGTGAGGTGCTTCGGGAGGAGACTCCGGGGAAGACCCAGGACACGATGGAGAGACTACATCTCTCTGTTGACCTGGGAACGCCTTGGGGTCCTCCCAGGAGACCTGGAAGAGGTGACTGTGGAAAGAGATGTCTGGACCCCCCCTGCTCATGCTGCTGACCCCGCGACCCGACTTCAGAACAAGCGGAAGATGATGGATGGATGAAGTTTGGTATTTCTGTTGGTTTACTACCACATTTATCAGTATTACTATTATTATAAAAGCTTTTTATAAAACAAAATGTCACCATCTGTGTTAACAGTTTTAAAGAGGAACGATAAATGTGAGAATCAGGTAAACGTCCCCACAAAACCCGGACATTTTTTCGTTAAGAGTAAGATCAATAAAATTAATGAGCCTCGTTTTTTTCTGCTGTAAACGAGTTTTCTGGCACTTGAGCTGTCACACACCTGGTTTGTTGAACGTTGTCCTCTGAGGTGTAGGTGGAGCAGATCCCTCACACCTGCAGCTTCATTCACGCTGAATTTCTCCACAGTTTTTTGCCTTTCCTGAATCTGGACTGTGCCTGCAAGAGAGATTAGTAACACAGATTATTTACACCCGACGACAGAAGGATGACCGATGAATCTACAGACAGAAGGGATCTATTAAACCAAACACTCAACTATGACGAACAGAAGTTTACGGGTATACCGTATTTTTTACCCTATAAGACAGGTTTTTGCATAATTTGATTTTTTTTCCATTTTTCTAAACAAATTTTTGGCTGAGATATGACTGTTTTCATTATTTCTGACTGAAATTATTGAACGCTACCATTTTCAGCCGCTAGATGGCACTTGAATATGGCATGCCGTTGTGTCATGTAATAAGTAAAAGCGGCTATTACTATTTTATAAAAATCTGTTGGACTCCTGGCAAGGACCAATGCAGACATGTTCTTGTTTTTAGTTTTCTACATTCGCCTTATAATCCAGCTGTTTTTGCCATCTTATTTTAATTTGGAAAAAATAATAATAATCTGTACGCCTCTTTTATAATTGTCTATTGTCGCTGTTGTCCATTGTTGTCATCATTCAAATCAGGTCTCTCTTGTAAATGAGTCCCCGAGGCTTAATGGGATTAACCTGTCTAAATAAAGGTTGAATGAGTATTAATGACACAATCGGCTTGCCATAGCCTGCCGCCTTCGTCCAGCTCGCTTGGAGCAACCGTCAAATCAGCTTCATTTCGCCGGGGCGGTGCAGCAAAATGAATCTGATTTGACCATTGAAGTGCATTTATTAAGTAAAAGTTCAACAGAGACACACCTTTACTATAAAGTCAAGCAAACAAAATATTGTTTTTAAGTGTTAATCTTGTTCAATTCTTGTTAAAGTCCTCCTGTGCACGCTCCCGCGGAATCGATTTTTGTCACAACACCGGCCCACATTTCAGGGTGGTCAGCAGTGACGCATAATAGATGCGACGTATTTATGAATTTTTCCACTTTATTAGACACATTTGGACTGACGCGACTTATAGGGCTGTGCGACATGCACGGCGGAAAATACGGTAAGCCATCTAGAAAAAGACTGACTGAATTTATAAACGCGTTAATAAAACATTATTTCTTACCGCAGAAGTGACCTAAGCCAATGCTGATGGCTATGATGAGGGCGAGCAGGATGCATTTGTTGAGGATGCCGCCTCCACCTTCCCCTCCATCATCCAGAGTCGCAGCAGCTGCTGTTTCAGTCTCTTCTTCCTCCTGCTGCTCCTCTTTCTCTTCTGCTTCACTTGAGCGTGACTCCGGCAGCACCTCCTCCTCCGGATCTGTAACAACACTCGCGGTGTTTCTCCTAACTCTTCGTCTTCGGATGGCAGGACTGGCTCTTCGCTCCGTCTCATCTTCACTGCTGCTCGAGTTTGTCGCCGCAGGCGGCTGCACTGGGAAAACTGCATTTAACGCACAAAATGTTATTTGTACACAAAGGTTTGTTTGTGCATCACTCCAGGCTTGTAAATGCACACGACGTACCGTGTGTACATGCATGCCATCGCACTGACAGCAAATAAACAGAAAAACATTCAGTAATTGTTGAAAACTAGAATTCATGTTTTTATTGTGTTGGTAAAATGATGTGGAACAAAACTTTAATAGTTCTGTGTTCAGAGGCCAACAATGTGCAAATGATGCTCCGTATAAATTTTAATCAGCTTCATCTTTGCACGTCTAATGATAATATGTGATGTTTTCATGTTGGTACAAACATTTAACTTTATTAAGATCGTGTTGAAGACATGTAGCATTTTATGTATTATCCACAAGAAGCACGCTTCTTTAATGTCACTTTATTGAAGCTACAGTGACTCAGATTAAATGAACGTTATCATCGTCGGGTAGCTTCAAGTATTTTTTTCACAGGACACGGAGCTGCTTTGAGTTACCGTAATCCACTTTTTGTTTTATGTCGTTTGGTTTGTTGCGTCTTACCAGTGTGGTTTTCATATTTATTTTGGTAGTTGCGTGTTTTGCTGTGAACATGTTTTTGTTTTTTCACCGAGTAATCAACGACACCAGCGTTAAACTGCTCCTTCCTTGCGCCTCCGTCTGTCGGGTCTACAGTGAGATCATCATGGTGGTCTTGGTTTCAACACTCATGATCTTCAGCTAAACGAAAGCGCTCATTTTCCCCTGTGAGGGTACCAGTGGGATTATTTGGGCGGCCATCAGGCCTCTTCTTAGTCCCTGTTCCATATCTGTTTTTTAAAGCATCTGCTGGAGATGGACTTTGATGTGCAGACTCTCACCAGCACAAGTGTAACTACACCAGGAAAGTAGACGGACGATTCCACTTCCTGGTTCACTGGCTTAGAAGACTGACAGCGATCTGTACCCCATGTGGATGGGATAAAGTGTTTCCTCCCAGTCATCTCCTATGCTGGTGTGGGGCATCGATTGATGTTACCTGGATTATACAAGAACTGAACCAACAATTCTTGGCTCAATGGTGTTTATGCAATATTTTATTGACGTCCCCTTTTACAGATTTGAGCTCCTCCGGATATTTTAAATAATCTTTACGTTTTTTTAAACCAGTTTTAATAAACAAAAGTTGAATCTTTTTTCATCGCTCTGGTCGTGTGTGACGGGAAGATCGAACGTAATTTGTGCAAAAAGCTGTGATGCACATGCTACATTAGATCAAGAAGTTGTTTTTTTATCCAAGTAATCAAACGGCATCTTGATTTTCTCCAGCTGGTCCTGGATCTGCTACAGCTGGTTTTAATTTAAGAGCTTGGTTTTCGTTGGATTGGACGGATGGATGGTATTTTATGTTCTTGGGTTTTGTTTGTTGCGTCATCGGTGCCACTAGTTGTCATCCAGACTCCTTGCTTGGCTCCTAACATACCGCCTGTATTCATTAGTAATCAGCACATCTGTAATTCAGTAATCGCCTCTTCTGGTACATGAACTGACCCGAGCTGGCAAAAAGTCAGATGAGCAAAGGCTGCAGTGCAAAAGCACAGGAAGTAATTAAAATGGCATGCAGTCATCTTAATCTATCTTTAAATCAAAGTTTTCTAACAAGTATTACCTTCAGAAAGAAATAAAAAATCTCTGCTAGTTGCCAAAGCACTGGGAAATCCTTTTGTATAATGTTTGACATCATTGTGGAGCTTTGGGAATTCACCTTTTTAAATAAGCTGCTGTGATTCCTGATGGCATCACTCCAGAACAAAAAAAAAAAAGTTTTCATACTGGCACTAGTTTGTTGCCATGTCAGATGAGAAATCACCAAATTTCAACAAACAACTGATCATTTCTGAACTTTTGAGATGGAGAATTTGAAAATAATAGCTCGATATAGAAAATGTCCTCATTGCGACTCATTTTGCCAGCACAGGCCACAATCGTGTTTTTTGTTAACCTTCATCCTTCTTGCTGGTTTATCGTTTGGTTTAGTTAATAAAAGCCTGTTTTTGGTTCTGAGACCACCTCCTGAACATGTGTCCTCATTCTACTCTGGTTCCACTGAATGGGACAAGAGCTTCCTCGAGGTCCCCTCTCGGTGGGATGTGTTCCAATCGCCTCCTCAGAAGGCACCAGTATGAATTACCTAAACCATCTCAAGTGTCTGTTTCAGACGCAGAAGAGCAACAGCTCTACTCTGAGTTCAGCCACGTTGCAGAGAAGTCTCATTTCAGCTGCTAGTTTTCTCATTTAGGCCGGTATCACGAGTGAGAGTTGGAATAAACTACAACTTCAGCTCTCAGGTCTCTTTCTGTTCTTCCTCCACTCATGAACAGATCCCAACGTACCTGAACTCCTCCACCGGAGAGATGGCAATCCACCCTTTTTAATGTATATTGCATTATCGTGATTATTTTGCTTGTTTGTTAGTAGAACTCCAGAACACACTCATGCACATAAAACGTTATTCAGGCTCGTCAGAGACCCGTTAGCATTTCTTCGGTGCGCTGCTAAACAATGTTAGATTATGGCTGCACAATATTTGGAAAACAAGCGACTGCAATGGGAGTGATGAATACTGGGGAAACGGCATGAGCTGGGATAAACTGTCCATGTGCTGGTCGAGGGCATTTAGAGGAGTGGGGGGTCCATATGGTTGCCAAATTTTTTTTTTTTTTTTAGCATAGTTTAATTTTGAGATGTTTTAGGAAACCTTTGATGTAGACACTGCGATGTTAGCAAATGTTCTATATACTGTGCAGCTTCAGTTAGCATCACGTCACATTTAATCCAGTCTAAATCAGGCCACCTGGGCGAGATCGGCTACCAGTGAGCTGGCCTCTCAGACGGCAACTCCAGTTCACCAGAGTCTGTGGAAGTTTCCACTGACTCAACAAGAAACCTGCTCAGGCAGAGGAAAAACGCTTGTGTTGAATTTATCAGCGATGAATGTGTGCGAGTGCAGCGTGCTGATCGTTCGGTCCTACCGGTCTCTGTAGCGGTGAAGGTGTAATGGCTGCTGCAGGACGTGCCGAGGTAAAGCTCCTCGCGGGTGGCTGCCTCCTCCTCTGCACCCTCCTTCAGTTCTCCCAGTGTCACAATATCAGAGTGATCGCTTAATGAGAACACGTGCTGTTTCTCTGCATTTCCCTGAAAAGATACGTCAGCAGGTTTACGATCAGCTGTGAGAACTGGACTTGCCACATTCAACTTTCAGGACCTCTCACCTGCAGGGTGGACGCATCTATAGTCTGTCCTGTACGGGGGCCAACAAGTGATCCAACTGCTTTTTCTTCGACACACAAAGCTAAAAAATACAAAAACAAAAAACGTCATTAAAAACGATATGTTAAATTTTAAACGGCTACAAATTCACAAGTAAAAATATCAGCTAACTACAACACGTGCAGAAACATGGGTGTGCTGGAAGAGCAACGTCTTCAGGCGGTCACTCTTTCAGGGATTAAGATCGTTTTGATAGAGAGGAACGTTGGTTTGAGAGAGGAGTGAAGGAGGCCATCTTTGTGAAGAGAAACCGTCCATCATTAAACAGGGGCGGAGCCTCCATGTTCAACTGCCCCCCTCTTACAGTGTTATACATAGTTCCCACACCGGTATTGCGCAACACCACTTTTTCACCATTTTTGTTGGCAAGCACCAGACGACGATCATGATGGCTTTCAGACAGACCAAAGTATATTGATACTCTTGTGCAAGAGAAAGATGCATGCAGAACATTGCTGCTGTCGGAATCGACCCATATGAGGTAGAGAAAGAACTCATGACAGACGCCGCTGACGAGCTGCCACCGATGCGTACAACCAACGTTTTAACGGATTCGTGAAGGACGTCCGAACTCTTCGTGTGAAGAACAAAGTTCTGGTGACTGGAAAAGTAAGTAATTACAAAAATATACACGCACATGTCCCTCATAGCCTGCAGATACGAGCTACATAAGCTAAGCTAATGTAGCTCGTGCTACAGAAAATCTCACTGATATTTCTCACATTATTACTTCATAATTATTCATTTTAGCTTTATGTGTGTTTTTTCTTGGTTGTTTGGTTCTTTTATTTACCATGATCTATATTAAATGTGCTTTAATAACTCTGGTTTGACGACAGATAACGTTTGTGTGCATGCTGCCATTATTGACCCGGTCTGTTTTGAAAAAGAGATTTTTTATCTAACCGGTTAAATAAAGGTTTAAACAGAACATTAACACGCTCCCTCCTAATAAAAACAGCCCAGGCTCAACTTGGGACTTCAACCAGGACATTGTTGCTGTGTGTTCACAGTGTTAGCACATAGCTTCATGAACAGAGCAGTTCCAGCACACACACAGTTGTACTCTGACATTTAGCAAAATGACTACGATATAATTTTTGTTTACCGAAATAAAAGTGATCGGAGCAGAGTCTAGATGTTTTTGAAGGCAGATCCTTGCGGTTGATGCTTCCAATCCAGACCGGACAACGTTCTGCGCTCAGCTGTTTGAGGTCCTTCTCGTTTCATGATGTTTGGGATCAAGTTAAAACTGAACCGTCTGCCCGGTCGGAACATCCTCTAACCCAACACGAAACAACCATCGCAATTTACTTAAATAAAAAATACCCGACAAACTTACTCAGCCGTGTCTGCAGCTACTGCGCGCCTACAAAGAAGGTGATTAGCGACAAAATGCTTGGATGTGTTACGTGACATGAGAACTATGCATTGCTAGTTGCACTCAGTGAATAACAAGCGGCCATCAGGGCACTAACGACCAATTGTTAGGACGCTTAATCAATTATGCTGAAGGTCCTCCTTTGCATGTGAGCAACTAGTTTTGGCTGCCATCAGGTTAGTGGATCAACTGGTGCTGCTTAAGACTGTTTGTTGCAGCTCCCCAGACTGAAGAAGTCTTTTGGATAAAAGATGAAACGTTTAAACAAGAATCCGTTCGGAGGACCTGACTCAACCTTGATAGACAAAAACGCAACATTAAAACAAAACAACAAAAAAACACCACATACTTGTTAGTAAAGATTTGAAGCCTTGAGTCCTAAATGTGACCGCCAGCAGCTGCAGCTTGTTCATATCAATACTAACTCGGCAAGAAAAAAGAAAGTATGAAGGTTTTTACCAGCTGAAAGTGTTTCCTGCAGAACCGGTTCTTCCACTGTGGGGTTCTCCAACCTCTCAACCTCTTCTTCAACCACAGCTTCTGATCCCAACGCCTCGATATCTGAACCCTGTGAAAAACACATCAAGAACAGGAAGACTAGAAAATAAGGGATTCATATTGTTCTCAAGTCACATTTACTTTAAATAAAAGTAACAAGACACCCAGGAAACAATTATGCTATTGTCAAAGCAGAAAGAAAATGATGTTTTATAGTTTTATTTGTTGTCTGTTAGGTGTCAACACAAAGTTGGTTAATCCCTTTCGTTCAGGAGCGCCTTTGCCTAAATTATTCACGCGGATTAAAAATGTTCAGGTAGTAAAACTTAGTTCTCTCTTTGAAAACTAAATACAATAAAATGGATAAACAAAGCAAGGCTCAGTGTTGTAACTACTGCACTACAGTAATTTCTTATAAATAAATAAGTTAGCCATCAAACCCTGGTCAATGTTCTCCTTTTTTCTGATAACTAGAACTACGGTAAACTAAGTCTTCCAACACAAGCACAATGAGCATAAAATCAACATTAATATAATATTAAACACATATTATTACTCTCGTGTTAAAACCTACACAATGGTAGGTATGGCAGGTTATAGAGATGAAGAATAACAAAAGTTTTTTTACCTCATTATTGATAATGGTCCAGTCGCAGGAGGACTCTGCGTCACTGGATGTCTCTGACATTCTGTCAGCAAAGATCAAAGCTCAGCAGGTCCAGTTAGTGAAGCTAAATGTTGAGTAAAAACAAAAGAATGAAGAGAAAATTTTACAAAGACGCCACAGTTGTAACAGCGACCCCTGGTGGTGAAGGTCTCTCATGACGTCACAACGGTTAAAGATGCCAGTGTGCGGCCTGACAATGAAAACAAACACCGGTTAGCTAAAAGTGTGCGCCATCAGCAGGTTGTAACTGCAGCAAACGTCTTTTAATATCAAATATCGGCATTTAGCGGCTGCCCGAGAAGCTAATTAACTCACCAACAACCTTACCCAAGTATGCACGCACTGCGGCGTCGAGACGAAACGCATTAAAAGAGTAGTTAATGTTTCAAAACTAAAACAAGTTGCTTAACTTACCACACAGCTGTTTGCAAACAGCTCCACGGTTGTTACTGGATGCCCAAACAAACCGTGGTTATCCGTTAACGACGCCTCGCAGCGGACGGTACAAGGGAAGTGTAGTTTCTGAGCGGCGTTGTAGAGGAAAGGGAAACGAAGCGTACGTTGTAAAAACTACGTTTCCCGTGATTCAGCGCGGCGGTCAAACGAGCTCGACAGTGATGGCGCAAACTCCGTAGCTTGCTACGAATAAACAACATAAACAAGGAAGCGTGACAAAGCATGGCGCTTCTAAATACTGAAATAACCATTATTTTCAGCTAAAGCTTTTAAAGAATCAAGAAAACGACCTGAATTGTTTTCTAAACAATTTAAAAGGTAATCACATTTAAAAAGCACGAGTTATTTTAGCGTAAAGCAAAATAGTAGACTGAGAAATAAATAAGATTTAAAATGTTAAAAAGTGTTTGAGTAAAAAAAGGGTTATGTCCCTAAAGTCATTAAAAAAAACATATAGTTTAAAAAAATGTTCTTTCATACCGTCTCTTTAAAACATATCAGCATATGAATTATGTAATTATTTAAATAACATAAAAATAAAGATTTTAAACCTATGTGCTGATGGAGAATAACAGTCTAAGTCTGATTTATTGATTAATAAAAACTGTATTATCGATCAGCTGTAAATAGTAACTTCCAGTAGAGGTCAGTAGGCCACATTTAAAAAAAACTTTCCTTCAGATGTGTTTTTAGACTTTAATTTGTATTTCATTGTGTGAAGCACATTCAAATACAGTATTACCTCTATTTTATTTTTGTATATATACTTTTGTCACATGATGTGTAAAATTGTGAGAAAACCATATTATTTCATTTAAAAAAAGTTTAAGGGCCTCTGGAAATTGAGCTGAACCTTCAGATAATTTTCTTATTGGAAAAATTATTTTCCAATAAACAATGGATTATTGTTAATGATTAAAAAAAAAAAACCTGTCAGCCAACTGTCAGAAAATAACTATGGAAGCCCGTTTATGCCAAAAACAAATAAATTCTAATTATGAGATAGTCACATTTGACTAAGCATTTTGTAAATAAGACTAAGTATCATAAAAATGTGACTTGGCATCCCATAATCATGATTTAGCACTTGATATTTTGGCATCATAAAAGTATGACTGAGCATCTCATAATTATAACCTACTCTTTAAATATGGCTTGACTTCTCAAAATAATGACTTGGCATTCCATAATCATGACATCGTCTGTAACTACGACTTGTCTTAAAGTAATTATTTTGAAAATAAGTGGGTAAAAATAAAATTACGTCTTCTTTTTCTTTCATCTTTTCCCTCTTCAGGGGTCTCCAGCGAGTCATCCTCCTCCATCTCCCTCTGTCCTCACTCCATCTGCCTCCATGGGGGAGTGGGGGAGCAGAGGTTAGTGAAGGTGGGCCTGTGATCGGAAGATCATCAGTTCAAGCCCCGGTACCAACAACATCAAGAATGTGGGTGGGGTAGGTGAAGCACCCACAACTGCCCCCACCCTCATTCGCCCCACCCTGGGCCCATGAGCAAGGCCCTTAACCCCCATCTTCTCCCTAAACAGGTCTCTCTTGAAAATGAGTTCTCGTAGCTCAATGAGACTACCTGGATAAATAAAGGATGTCCTCTCTAACTGTATCCATATATTTCCTCTTTGTCTTTTTCCAGGCAGCTGCATTTCTAACATCCTTCTACCAATATACCCACTGTCCCTCCTCTGGACATGTCCAAACCACTGTCCCTCCTCTGGACATGTCCAAACCATCTCAGTCTGGTCTCTCTAACTTTATCTCCCAGTTGTTCAACCTGTGCTGTACCTCTGATGATCTCATTTCTAATCTTCTCCATCTTTGTCTCCTAAGGAGAACCTCAACATCTTCATTTCTGCCACTTCCAGTTCTGTCTCCTGTCTTTTTGTCCATGTCTCTGTCTCCAGATCATACATCATCGCTGGTCTCACCACTGTTTTGTAAGCTTTTCCTTTGACCTTTGCTGACACCCTTTTGTCACAAATCACTCCTGAAACTTTTCTCCATCCACTCCATCCTGCCTGGACTCTCTTCTTCACCTCTTTACCACATTCCCCATTTTCCTGGACAGTGGACCCCAAGTCCTTGAAGTCCTGCACCTTTGTGACCTCTGCTCCTTGTAGCCTCACTGTTCCACCTCCTCCCTCTCATTCACAAACATGGACTCTGTCTTAATACGGCTGACTTTCATTCCTCTTCTTTCAAGTGCATACCTCCACCTCTCCAAGTTCTCTTCCACCTGTTCCCACCACAGATCACAACATCATCTGCAAACATCAGTCTACGGGGATTCCTGCCTGACCTCATCTGTTAGTCGGTCCATCACCAAAGCAAACAAGAAGGGGCTCAGAGCTGATCCTTGATGCACTCCCACCTCCATCTTGAAGCTGTCACCCCTACAGAACATCTCACCACTGTCCTGCTGTCATGCTTTATCTAAATCCATAAAGACACAATGGAGTTCTTTCTGACCCTCTCTGTACTTCTCCATCAACATTCTCAAAGCAAAGATGGCGTCTGTGGTGATTTTTCTCTGCACGAAACTAGACTAGAAATAACATTCAGCAGTTTGGAAGAGTATAAAGTATCGTAAGATGAATTAAAACGCTACAACACATCAACACAACTCTGTACTTTAAAAGAACAATGACAACACTTTTTCTTTTTTGTCATTTTATTTAAACTGAGAATCAGAGTTTTTCATAATTAAGCATTTTCTAAAAAAAAATCTAAACATTTTTGAAAAAAAAATAAAAACTTGCAAGTAATTTTTCTGACACAAAAATATATCAAAACATTACAAGTAAATTTGAGATAGCGTTAACAATTGGAAAAAGGTACATTCATTTAGTTTTTAAAGTTGTAACCTGTTTTTCAGTTTGAGGGCGAGCGGCTGCGGGTCCCCCTGAGTGTGATTGTTAATGACCCACAGCACCACCGCGCCGCTCAGACAGGGACAACAGAGACCGGGTCGGTTCCTCTGAGTTTCATCCCTTTCAATTCACATCGTCGGACCGGAACATATTTTCAACACGCAACACCTTTAAAGAGTTACACAGCAGCAGACCACCATCCTGTGTCCCTGTTTGACCTCAGCCCTTAAAGTGTTTCATCTGCTCCAAACACAACTTGACAACATCAACAAATGAGGTAGCACTTATTTACCTGCACGAACTATTAAAGACCCAACGTAGAACAGGTAAAACTCCATTAGTCGCGTCTGGTTTTGTGTTTTCTTAAACAAGAAGTCAGTATCAACGCTGCACGGTTACATGTTTTATGACACTTTGTGTTAAGAGCTCAGGAAACACAATAAACAGTTTTCAGGTTCAGGTCTTTAAAGCTTCACAAATACAGGAAATGAGTTAAAAATATAGGCATTGAATTTAAATCTGAATAGCAGGACACCATGACTCCACCGTGTCATTAACACATTTCATCCTGTATGACAACAGAATAAATGGAATTATTGATTATTTTCCATCTTTTAAATGGAAAACTACATATTACAGTAATAAAAAATAAGCAGTGAAAACAGCATCTGATGCTTCGATCGGACACGTTTAAACTGATTTCCTGCCGATATGCAGCGGTGACGTAAAAACAAATCTTTGGTTCATATCGTTTGCTTTTTTTTTTTAAAAAAAGAAAGAAAGTTAAACTGATTGTGTCTCTTCTCACCCGACATGATTGAATCCTCCGCAGAGTCCTCTGATTAGAAAAACAGAAGCGTGAAAACATTTGTGCACCCACTGAGTCGTCAATCTGCCCGGCCTCAACGTAAATCATTTATTTTATTAGTGAAGTCCAGAAACGTTATTCGTCACTAAAATATAGAATATAATCTGAATATAATCACAAACTTGAACTTCCTCGTTCAAATAAAACTATTTCAGAAAAATAGTGAATGCACATTTGTACACAACTGCAGCCGTTGCAACACAGACCACTAATTAATATAATATACTGTATTTATATCCTATTATAGTCGCCTACATTGTACAGACATCTGTTTGCAACAGCGTATGAGGAGCTCTGCGAAAGGATAGTTTGGTTAGTATGCATATTATTGATTATTAATCATTAATTATTCACTCCGTGAAGCTCCTGGTGAGCTTCCTGAGTTTTAGCCCACAACCCTTTGCACCGTTTCTGCTGCAGGTCAAGGCCACTAATGTGCAAGGCTTTCATGGAGGAGCGTCTCAGCTGATCTCCAGCATCACGTCTCATCTTTGGTCTGATGCGTTTTGATTATTTCTCGTTCCCGGAGATCAGCCGAGAGACTAAAACAACAAAACTCAATCAGCAAACAACTCTTTGGGTTAGTAGCGTCACGGTCACCGCTGCAAATTGGCTTTTCGTACGAAACTACGAGGCAGACAAGTGTTGATCTGTAACTACTCTACAGCAAAAGGGAAATAAAACTACAAACTAGAGTGTGCACTCCTCTTAAGTACGTCATTTTCTAAGAAAAATATATATATATTTTAGAGGTAAAGCTTTTCATGGTGTTCATTCTTCAATTCAATCTCTGATTAAACACTTTCAGACATTCTTCATGTGTCGTTTCCTCACGTGGAGCTGCTCCCTCACAGATTAGGCTTTGGTGTCCCCATTCGAGGGACGCTTTCCACATTAAGGCCAATTATGAAGCGTTTCTGTTCAGACACGCTGCCGCAAGCACTTCTGGTGTGAATGTTTTTACAAAAACGAAGACCGTCGGAGCGTGTAAAAACAGACTACGGGGGAATACGAGGGGGAGGCAGCACCAACTTCTGCTTCTGAGCTACTGGCACACAGAAATACATTCATTGCATTTTCAGCATTTTCTATGTGGCAATCACACACGACAACAGTTTAGTACAGAGAGGATACCCTGTCAGTTCGCCATGTATCGCTACACGGCTTTTCAAACGTACTAAACCTTGTTCCCTGAGTTTAGGAAGAAAAAAAAAAGACAATAAAAGTAACTTTTAAATGAGGTAGTATAAAACAGGATTAGCAAGGGCAGCTGCACTCTTGACATACAACACACATGTGAACATTCATTATTTCTTTCATACCGTTACTCAACAATGGACAAACTGAACAAAAAAAAATATTAATACTGGCTCAGTACCTCAGCAACATCTGAAGTGTTAAATAACACAAAGTGTGTGTTTAATCCTTCATTCCACACAATGGGTGGAGCGAGAGGAGGCTGCAGCGCCCTTACCATCCGCACAAATCAAACAAAAAGACACAACGAGATGACGATTGGAAAATACAGCCATCAGGAAGTTCAACATGTAATGCAGCTGAGGCAGCACATCACATAACGCAAGTAGTTATTAACTATTCAGCGGGAGGTTCACCCTGAGGCGAACCGAGGTAGATCATCAGCAAAAAGGACTCGCACGTTCCCTTCTGCTCCAGTGATAAACTCTCATAAATAATGTAAAAAATGTCACTTTTATCTGACATTTACGACAATCTTTTTTAAACATTCATGGTGGGTGAGATTTTTTTTTTTTTTAAATATACACAGAAATGAAAAGAAAACAAAAAGTAAAAAACTTGCAGCCAACCTTTCATACTGCTAAGGCGTTTGTTGGCTTCCTCTTCGTGGTGTAACGAAGCAAACGGTGATAAATATTTCTCTCTCTGCTCGTTTACACCTTTCTCTCATGCTTACCAAACATTCACACGGTCATTTATCTGCAGTGAACTTGCAATGGAGCGTAATTACAGCAGGTTTGCGTAAGTAAATTTGAGCAAATTTGGTCCTTATGGTGTCTACAAATTGGTAGAAACAAAAACAAAAGTGATTAAATCTACCAGTCCGAGTGTTCCCTTTATATTATACTGAACAGTTTTATGTGTGGATTGATATTTTGCTAAGTAAAGAATTGAGATTACAGGATTAAATGAGCTACCTCTTTAAGGATGACAATTAAAAAAGGTTACTTTTGTTACTTTTTAAGTTAACTCGGACGACGTGACGCCACGTGCACCACAGTGTGGTGGCACTGACGGGAGCTCCGCTTCGACTCACTCTTACTTTGTTCCGGTTGTTTTTGTTTTAACTGTTTTTGCGCCTACACTGCACACCCACGCTACAGGTACGACTGTGACACATTTTAAAGTTGTGTGTCGTTGACTTGTCATCGTGGTTCAGTTCCTGGTCCCCTTCCAGCTTCGAGCTCAGGCTCCGGCCCGTCATGGCAGCCATGATCCTCCATCTGCCTGCACGGACAAATTATACACCACAGTTCGACTCCACAGGGAAACCTTGGATGTTCTGTGTCTGCCAGACCCAGTTCTGGAGGGCAGTCATCGTTCGTTGCCGCGGTCCTTATTATCATCATGTTGCTAACGGGACCGTGCAGCTAACAGAACCACACTGCTAACAGAAAAACACTGCTAACAGTACCATGCTGCTAACAGTACCATACTGCTAACAGTACCATGCTGCTAACAGTACCACACTGCTAACAGTGCCACACTGCTAACAGAATCACACTGCTAACAGAAAAACACTGCTAACAGTACCATGCTGCTAACAGTACCATACTGCTAACAGTACCATGCTGCTAACAGTACCACACTGCTAACAGTACCACACTGCTAACAGTGCCACACTGCTAACAGAATCACACTGCTAACAGTACCATGCTGCTAACAGTACCATGCTGCTAACAGTACCATACTGCTAACAGTACCATACTGCTAACAGTACCATACTGCTAACAGTACCACACTGCTAACAGTACCACACTGCTAACAGTGCCACACTGCTAACAGAACCACATTGCTAACAGTGCCACACTGCTAACAGAATCACACTGCTAACAGAAAAACACTGCTAACAGTACCTTGCTGCTGAGAGAACTACACTTCTAACAGAACCACAATGCTAACAGAACCACACTGCTAACAGTAACATGCTGCTAACAGAATCACATTGCTAACAGTATCATGCTGCTAACAGAATCACATTGCTAACAGTATCATGCTGCTAACAGAACCACACTGCTAACAGTAACATGCTGCTAACAGAATCACATTGCTAACAGTATCATGCTGCTAACAGAACCACACTGCTAACAGTACCATGCTGCTAACAGAATCACATTGCTAACAGTATCATGCTGCTAACAGAATCACATTGCTAACAGTATCATGCTGCTAACAGAATCACATTGCTAACAGTATCGTGCTGCTAACAGAATCACATTGCTAACAGTATCGTGCTGCTAACAGAACCACACTGCTAACAGAAAAACACTGCTAACAGTACCATGCTGCTAACAGAACCACACTGCTAACAGAATCACACTGCTAACAGAAAAACACTGCTAACAGTACCATGCTGCTAACAGAACCACACTGCTAACAGAAAAACACTGCTAACAGTACCATGCTGCTGAGATAACTACACTTCTAACAGAATCACACTGCTAACAGTACCATACTGCTAACAGTACCATACTGCTAACGGTACCATGCTGCTAACAGTACCATACTGCTAACGGTACCATGCTGCTAACAGTACCATACTGCTAACAGTACCATACTGCTAACAGTGCCACACTGCTAACAGTGCCACACTGCTAACAGAACCACATTGCTAACAGTGCCACACTGCTAACAGAACCACACTGCTAACAGTACCATGCTGCTAACAGAACAACACTGCTAACAG